CCTGGCAGAGGCTGTATACGCGTGGCCGTGTGAGAGTATTTCGAGAGGGAGGGCGAACCCTCCCCGCTCTCGGCCATACCAGGGCATTTGGGGGCGCTACCAAAAGACTCTGCATTTCATCAGCGTCTTCACCAAACAGGACTATGTCATCTGCGTATTCTAAGTCGATAAGTGGACCTCCTGGTAGGAGATCAATGCCGAAGAATTCAGTCGATGAGAGCGTTATTTCCATCAGGAGGTCTATGATAAAGTTAAACAAAAAAGAGAAAGTGGACAGCCTTGAAGGACACCACTTGAGGTTGCAAAAGCAGATGACAGTTCGCCATAAGCTCTGACTCGACTAGTAGTGTTCGAGTAAAGAGCCTTCACAAGGTTTATATACTTCTGAGGTACGCCTTTCAATGACAGACACTGCCACAGAACCTCTCGGTCTACAGAGTCAAATGCTGCTTTTAAATCAAGGAAGACCACCATTGTCGGACGCCGATAAGTATGCCTGTGTTCTAGGACCTGACGAATGGTGAATATGTTTTCTATGCATCCACGACCAGGTCTGAAGCCAGCTTGATTCTCTCGTGTTTGCAGTTCACAAGTCTTAGTTAGGCGTCCGAAAATTATCGAGGCTAGTATTTTAGATACTATACTAGTCAAACTAATCCCTCTATGGTTGTCACAGGATGATTTTGACCCTTTCTTAAATATTGGGACGATAAGTGATTGTGACCAGTTAGATGGGATAACGTCTAACTCCCAGATTTTAGCTAAAATATTAGTCAACCTAATTGCTAAAGCTAGACCACCATCCTTTAAGACCTCTGGGGCCAATCCATCTGGACCAGCTGCCCTTCCTCGTTTCAGATTAGCTATAGCCTTTTGAACTTCAGCTAGAGTTGGGGGACCTACTTCCATGTTCCATTCATACTGTCTGGGAATAGAGGGTAGTTGTAGAGTAGCTGAAGGCCAGCTGAACTGTTCTCTAAAATGTTCCACCCATCGTTCTAAACGTCTGGACTGGGAGCAGATGTGAGTGCCGTTTTTTTCCGAAATAGTCTGACTTACACTTGACTTATTAATTCCAGTTTCTTTTATTAGTCTGTAGAGTTGTCTTGTGTTACCTATAGCCGCCGCCTTTTCCATCTCTTTTGCTTTCGTTGCCCACCACTGCTCACGATCATTCCTTAGACTTTTGCTTAACCTAGATCTGATTTGTTTACGCTCTTCATCGTGTTCAGAACCTGATGGGATGAGTTTACGAGAATCCATTAGTGCAATAGACCTTGAAGAAGTTCATTGGTTCTTTGTAACCCTGTGGTTTAAATTACTAATTGATGTCACTGCTGTTTCCACAGCTGCTTGTATATCTTTCCAAGCAACATCTGGGTCAGCCTCGTTTTCAGAACTACCTAAGTGTGACCTCAGTTGTTCTTGGAACCTACTTTTGGTTTTCTCGTTACTCAGTTCAGTTCTAATGGGTCTTTTTAATGTGGCTTTTTTGCGTCCAGTGAGGCGCAAGCAGATGCGTGCTCGTATTAGTGCGTGGTCGGAGTCCAAACAGGTACTCCAGAATGAGCGACAATCTTCTATAGACCCTCTCCAACGATGACTGATGGCAATATGGTCTACTTGAGTCCATCGTTGGTTTGGTGCAGGGGGTCGCCATGTTAGACGATGTCTCTCCTTATGCTTAAAATTTGTGTTTGCTAAAAATAAACGATTGTCTGAGCACAGTTGCAGCAGACGATCACCATTATCTGTTCGCTGTGCCGGAATACTAAAATACCCACCTAAATGTCTTTCTGTTTCGTTTAAGCTACCTAGCAGGGTATTAAAGTCGCTTGCTACGAGTACTATGTCTGAACGTTCAGTTTTCTGAAGAAGTTCAGACAGCTTTCTGTAAAATTGATCTTTCACTTCATTCGAACTGCAGTCAGTGGGAGCGTAGGCAGAAACGACGAAAAGGCAACGACGTGTGTCCCTATCTTTCCGGGTTTTTACGGAGCCGTTTAGCCGAACAGCGCATAGACGACTGTTAACCGAGATTCACTCTAATAGCGCTTGTTCCGCCCTCATGCTTAGTGCTATGCCTACACCTGCCAGTCCACGAGAACTAGCCATCGGGTCGCCAGATACACGGAGGGTGTATATCGTCGGCTCTCCGTTTTGCCGAGGTTAGGTCAAGTGAATGACCACGCTAGGATCCTGTATGCGTGTTTCGGAGACACAGCATACATCAGTGGTACGAGATTCTAAGGTTTTAGCCAAGGAAGCCTGCTGACCGATTTGGCATGGTGTGCGTACGTTGAAGGCTCCAATGTGTAGTTTGGAGCGAGGTTTCAGTAGACCTGGGATAGTGTTTTGCGCACTAGAATCGTTGGCTGTGGTGAAACTTGAGGAGGAAGCCGAAAGAGGGAGTTTAGATTTGAAAGTCGATGTAAGAGGAATAATAGGAATTGAAGAGGTAGGTTGATTATGAATACAGTGGTCTTGAGTGCTGTTAGAGGTATGAGGGCGGTTATCAATTCCCGGTTGCCCACACCGTGGAAGGGTTCTGCTGGAGGTACCTGAAAAGGAAATCGGATTAGAGGTGGTCTTAGTGACCTGAGAGCGTGACCGCAGTGCCCAAGGGACAGCTGCTTGAGGTCGGTCACACACGACCATTTTATGAGTAATTTTTGTGTTAGCTCCGTACTTGTTGAGACCTTACCGCCGGAGACGGATATCCGTGAGACAACCAATTGTTTCTTTATAGTTCGGAAAACTGAGAAATTTGATTCATTTATTAATGATATATTGAATAGCCATTATAACTTTGTAGTTCATGAAGTCTAACAAAAAACAGATTGAAATGCCTATCAACAGCGGGATCCTGTATTAGCATTAGTTCTTAATATTTGTCAGCCACTGTGCTTAGACATGCTCTCACGCTACTTTTCGGTAAAATCTGTTAACATCAAGATAAATTGTCGTGTAGAGTAAATATTTGTTGATATATTTAGTTTTCTTAAATACATTCAACCAGCAATCCTGCCTCTTGTTTTTTTTATACCTTAGAATAATTGGTCTCCTGCTCTTACCATTAGTAAAGTTTTACTGTCTATTTGCTCGTTACTTACTGATTGCAATCCAGCCGACCCGCTTGTTGGATCTATTGCTAGCCAATACATGCATAACAGATCAGAACATGATCGCATTGCACGACTATGGACACAAAAATATGCAAATTCTGCTACTTATCCCTCTACTGGACATTCACATAGTATGAGTGCGGACTCCGAGTCTTCTAGAAGAGGATCACGTATCACGCTATCCCCCACCCCAAGATCATCAGATTCCGGGCATTCAGGCTTCGCGTCGTCAAACAAAGACGAGATTCTGACGGAAGTACCATGTACGGAAAGCAGTAGTGCAAGTGCCTGTACAAGCATTGGTGCTAGAAGTGATGGTGGAGAAAGTGTAGATGAAGTTCTTGAAGACGACACTCCCGTACCTTCTACAGAAACAACTATTGCCCATTCATTTACTCCGGCTTAATATTTGAGATCCCTTAATCTTGTTTATTTACCTGGTTCTTTCGTTTCTTTATGATTCGTTTTAATTTAATCTATAGCTTGCTTTGTGAATCTTTTCTAAAAAATCATGCGCACTTTGTCTACTGTTTCCTAAGCGATTCCAGCCTAACTACCAACATTCGTTTAGTTTGTTTTCTTATTTACATTCCTTTGTCGGCATCTTTTCTGATTACTTTCTGAAACGGAGAGAATATGGCGATACCCCACTAAATGTATCTCCGACTTTTTCAAAATCTCAGGTGTTAACTTTAGGTTTAACTGAAGTTGCGGATCAGTTTACACATACTTTATTTCTAATAGTTTCAACCATCGCTGATCGTTTTCATAACTATTCTATGATATAAAAACATAACTTCTTAACGGCTGTACAAAGTTATCACTGTTCAAGCTGATTAATAATCGTATGCTAACATGTATTATATGCTTATGTTTTTGAATCTTTGTGCATGTGAACATATCAGCATTTCTCAGTTCATTATTGTTTACTAGGTTCTTGATGTTCATTAAATAAAATACCTTTTAGAGCAAACAGTACTAGTTTCTACCATAGCTTTCGTAATAACTTCAAACGTTATTTGTTTGCTTAGTAGAATAATGAATTACGATTTTTATCATTCAAAAAGTTTTTCATTTCACAAGTCATATTCTAATAGCGGGTTGATACTCTTGTTATCAGTATAATTGTTGCTCATACATTTCCTGTCATTCTACTTTTGTTCCTTCTATAAGCGCTTGATTTTGAAATGGGAATAAACTTAGAGAAAGGAAAATGTCTTCCACAGAAGTGTTTATCAATCTTCCTAAGTCTTCAGGATCAGCATCGTAATTCGTAAAAACGAATAACAATCGGAAGTGCACACGTACCATTCTAGTAGTGTGTGAAGTATATGTATTAAGTAAACATTCTTGGCTAAGCAAGAATAAACCGACAAGGTGTCCTACATTGTTTTTTCTCGGAAAACGTAAAGTTAAATAAGTAAGTAATGGAGCTCAATGTATCAATACGACCAACCAGGCATACAGCTAAAATATCCATAGGGTAACGTTTCAGATATTTTCAGACGCTAAGTGTTTTAACAGTCTATAAGTGATCATAAGGTGACTACTGCAATTATGATATTCAATATTTAACTGGTTGGTTATACCGCTCCCACTAACTTATCATTTAGAAGTATGTCTTACTGACCTTTCCTCTTAATAAATACTCATTGCCATATTCAAGGTTTTTTTTTAAAATAACAAATATCCAACATTATTTATTTCCAGAAAACGATAAGAATTTATCTTTTGTTAAATATTAGTGGTAGAAAATATGTAGATATACATCTGATTGTTGAAACAAACAAAAAATTAACATGATAAATTGTGTTCTTATTAACTGAAAAGTAAAAATACATATTATAAATAAGTAAAAAATCAATTTAGAACAACTCATCGGAGCATACTATGTGTATTTTCGAAAAATACACCAACACGAGGTAGTAATTCATAGAACAATATGTAAGCATTATCATTCTGGAAGAGAGCAAAGTAGAAAAAGTAAAATCTGATGAGAAATTTATAGCACATAAGTGGTTTACCACAAATTTCATATCAGTCATAACGTAGTTTACATGTCCATCGGTCAAAGTTGCTGTATTGCACATCAACAGAGAGAGAAGTACTGAGACGGGAACAAGTTGGACTGTGTGTATCAGCAGTCTTATAAAAACAGTTCTAGGAAATATATTTTAGTACAGAGAATTATGATTGTAAATTTAGTAATGGGAGAATACTAAACTCAAGACTAAGGATGATGTAGTAGATCTGCGACTTATAATGAGCCATAAAACCCAAGGTCTTCAAACATTAGTCAGGAACATCTGGTGATGTCAGTCAGCAATACTGCACCTTTCGCAGTTCCTGACGTTAAAACAACTTACTAGTGTGGTCCAACCATCTAACACCAATGGCAATGGATGATAGCAGTGTCGCAAACTCACTGAAGTAAAAAGTGTGGACTGATGGGTTTTTACTTCAATAGTAAGAAAGCAACTTTTCACGACGAGGTCTTAGGGTCCTGGACCGTGTTTCATGAGTGTAGGCAAACTGATATATCTGCTACCGATACGTCCAAACTGTCCTCCTAGCCAGTCCCTATAACACGAACTACTTCTATATGTTAAATAAAATGAGGGGGAAGGTACGAACAAGGGTATTTGTGGGTTTATACACGACCTTGAGCCAATGGTGGTTTCCGAAACCAAACGTAGTATAGGTATGTGTTCGATCAAAGCTGTGACACGTGGTTTTAGATTTTCCAGATGTTTTCGCAGTATTAATTATAACCTAGAGTAAATGCTTTTCTCAAGAATAGAATAGAGAGGAAAACATCAATCTACATTAGGAAATAAATGCAACTAATTAAGAGTCGAATCTATTCTGATTAATTGCATTCAGATGACTCCGAAATGAGCGACTGAGAGTCTATGTGATTATTATTACTCGAATGCCAATTCTATGCAGCAAAATATTTCACAATTTTTTATATGAATTGTCGAATACATAAAAGACTTCTGGATTATTTTGTAATTTGAACTATACTACTAAGAGTAAAACAAGGCATATTCAAAGAAATACCTTGATACCAACGAAAACGATTCGTGGAAAATTTTTACAAGTTTTAACAATAAAATTGGTTTAATATTTTCATCTTATAATGTTGCCTTCTACAAATAATCTCATATGCCATATTTAGAAAAAGTAAAACAGTTAGTCTAAACTGAGAAATTTAAGACTATAAATTTATCTTACAGTCTTACTAACTACATCTCAAACATAATAAATGGAACTCGACTGACTAAATCGTATATATATATATATATATATATAATACATGGATTGTACTTGTAAAAGTGATCCGACTAGAATAGTAATAGAAGCAATGCGCTTCAGCAAGTGAGAGTTGTAGCTGGAAATAATTAAAAGTACAATATGGCGTTTCCTACAATAAACTGATCATGAATGGGACGAGAGTGAAATAAGGTTATGAATACCCTCTTATCATAGGTTTGGAGTTCATAAAAATAGTAACCATGATCAAATTTAGGACTTCTAGAAGTTATTAGAAAGAAGTTAGGATTGGATGAGTAGGAGGGATTTTCTCCGTACTCCGTTATTGACAAACATATCTTTTTGATTCATACAGTCATGCAGCTACTGATTCAACTTCGAAATTCAGTAGTCGCGTTAATTCAGTTCGATTTGTCAAACTGATTAAAATGCTACATCATTTGATTCGTCTAAGAAACAAGTACATCAGAGAAACTAATTGTTCTAACCCTAGGACTTTGTTACACTAACAAATAAATAACTTACTTGTATTTCATTTTTATCTAATAAAGATACATTTTCATCATCATATTCATACCACCGACCGTCACGGATGTTACGACAAAATGTTGTATCTGTTGAAATATCAAGAATGTTAAAATTTATAACAGAAAAACAGTACTCTAGGATAAAATAATGCATTAAGCAAGGGAACAGAAGTATTACTATTGAAAATAAGTATTACTCAACACATAGATAAAGGAGGAAGTTACGGAGTAGTTAAAACAAAGTAATCAATTGAATTGTAACGCTAACAACTACTACTAATAGATGTAGGGATATCTAGGATGCTAACTTATGCACACTAGTTTAGGCTGGATAAAAATCTTTAGTTTAGGTAAATATGATTTGTAGACTTTATTAACAAATACCAGATCATCACCTGGTTGTGGCCAATTAAAAACTGAAGCTAAAGAAGAACTGAACAACTGGACAAATAGCGCTGCAAAGGTTCAATACAGACTTCATTCGAGATACTGACAAACTCAATGAATTCAAGATAGCCCTCAACAACAGGTTCCAAGCCTTACAGGATCTACTGAAGGAAGAAGAAACTACTATGGAGGATAACTGGAAAGGTATCAAAGAAGCATTAACTTCAATGTGTCAAGAGGTTTTGGGCCCCAAGAAGCATCATCACAAGGAATGGATCTCTATAGAAACACTGGACAGGATCAAAGAAACGAAGAACAAGAATACAGCAATTAACAATAGTCGAACATGAGCAGAGAAAGTCCAAGCACAAGCTGAATATATAGAAGCAAACAAGCAAGTGAAGAAGAGCATTAGAGCCGACAAGCAACAATACGTGGAAGAACTCGCAACGACGGGGGAGAAAGCTGCAAGAGAAGGAAATATGAAACAGCTTTACGATACAACGAAGAAACTAGCAGGGAAATATAGTAAACCAGAGAGACCAGTCAAAGACAAAGAAGGAAGACCGATCACTGAGATTCAGCAACAGTGGAGCAGATGGGTACAGTACTTCGAGGAACTCCTGAATAGGCCGGCTACAGTGAATCCACCGGACATCGAAGCAGTACACACAGATCTTCCTATAGATGTCAATCCACCAACGATGGAATAAATCAAAATGGCCATCAGACAAATCAAGAGCGGGAAAGCAGCAGGACCCGACAATATAACAGCTGAAGCACTGAAGTCAGATATCGAAGCAACTACGAACATGCTTCATCTTCTATTCGAGAAGATTTGGGAGGAGGAACAAGTGCCGATGGACTGGAAATAAGGACACCTCATCAAGATTCCAAAGAAAGGAGATCTGAGCAAGTGTGAAAACTACAGAGGCATTACACTACTGTCAATACCGGGTAAAGTCTTCAACAGAGTGTTACTGAACAGGATGAAAGACACAGTAGACGCTCAACTGCGAGACCAACAAGCTGGATTCCGTAAGAACCGGTCGTGCACAGACCAAATTGCGACACTACGGATCATCGTCGAACAATCGATTGAGTGGAACTCGTCACTCTACATCAACTTCATTGATTAAGAAAAGGCATTTGACAGCAATCCAATCACTCTTGATGGTGAAACTCTGGAAGATGTGGAATCCTTCACATACCTGGGAAGCATCGTCGATAAACAAGGAGATTCAGATGCAGAATTAAGGCGAGGATTGGCAAAGCAAGGACAGCATTCCTTCAATTGAAGAACATATGGAACTCAAAACAACTGTCAACCAATATCAAAGTCACAATCTTCAATAAGAACGTCAAGGCAGTTCTACTGTACGGAGCTGAAAGGCGGAGAACTACAACAACCACCATCAAGAAGGTACAAGTATTTATCAATAGCTGTCTACGCAACATCCATTGGCCGAATACCATCAGCAACAGCCTTTTGTGAGAGAGAACCAACCAGCTTCCAGCGGAAGAGGAAATTAGGAAAAGACGATGGAAATGGATAGGACATACATTGAGGAAATCATCAAACTGCATTACGAGACAAGCGCTAATTTGGAATCCTGAAGGGAAGCGGAAAAGAGGAAGGCCAAAGAACATATTACATCGGGAAATAGAAGCGGATATGAAAGGGATGAATAAGAACTGGAAAGGATTGTCCAGGACGGGGTTGGATGGAGAATGCTGGTGAGCGGCCTATGCTCCTTCGCGAGGAGTAACAGGCGTAAGTCATAATAAACTAGACAGTCAGTCAATAATGCTCAAAATGGATCCTGGTATGTATGTGAGTCGGTTAAAATTGCCACACTACATCAGCACTGTGAGTAAATGCAGAAATAGCGATACATACTACTTATATATGTCTGCATCAGTAGCACACACCGGTGTTAGTCGTAGTAAACCAATAATAATATGATTTGCGAATAGAGAGCTAATCCGTTAAACAAAAAGTATAAAACAATCTTAAATCTCAAGATTTAAAGAAAGGCATTTGTATTATTGCACTTAAATTTGAGTCATGTCACTCAACATCTCCAACCTAAACCAACTAGTCTGCACAAATTATTATGGACCAGACCAACAATCAATAACTTAATGGACTGATATCACGTTCTGGTTTGACTGGCCCTAGTTTTCTCCCAACTCTATCCTACATCAGCCAGAATTAAAGAAATGGATGATTAGGTCAACACAACATACATATTTCAAGTATAATATTGGGTAGTGACCGGTGGCAAACATTTAGGATGCTAGTTTTTGTTCTAATTAGAACGATTAAGATGTGAGTTTTTGAAATTCAAACGTAGTGCCTTGAAGTTATGTGCTTGAAAAGTTATTCGCTAAACCAGTGGATTAAAAATAGATCAAGTTGATTTGTTCAAAGAAGGACGGATAATGTGTCCAGAGATTTCACTAATAACTACTACTTAATACTATGGATATGTTAACTGATAATTAATAACGAGGTACACGAGCAAACGAGTTTCTTTACTAACAGTGACCAGTCAATTCATCTACATAACTTATTGGACATCACTACTAGTAATAACTATTGACTACGCCATCTTCAAAAATGAAAGTTCAGCAACTATCTATAAACTAGGAAGATTATTACCTACAATAAAGCAATAGACAACAGATAATCTTCTGAAAGCATCGTCTGTGAAGTAAGGTTTTAACTAAAATAAATTTAACTGGAAACTCTTCTTGGAGGTGACGCCGGACCAAGGCCCAGACTGTGGATTAAGAGCATGATTAGTAATCTCATCTTGTTAAAAGGAACCCCTTTACATAGTCACTAACAAGAGAAAACTTTGCTCTGGGAAAACGGTATTCAGATGGAAGAGTTATCACATCATGTGATGAAAGCAAGGTCTCTGAAAACCATGAGGCGAACACATCTTCCGCAACATTACACTAAAGCACAGCGGTATAGCTTATGTATGCAAGAAGTTCATGATTTTGTTTTACATTCAATCGGTTTAATTAAAATGAAGGCAACTGAAAGCAATGAGAACCTAGTTGTCGAGGCTCAACAGAATATAATGTCCTGAATAATCTAGTTAAAAATGATATGAACAGATCAGTTAGATAAAGGTGAGTAAACTTCAACAAAGCACATATTTTTGAGCAATCAATACTTTGTATGAATAAATAAACGCCTAAGCCAAAAATAGTGACTTCTCTTTGATAATAATCAAATGGTATGATTAAAATAGTCATTTGATAATCAAAATCTAAATGTGCAACATCCCAATAATATTTTTGCTTGTCGGGTAAGTAATAAACATATATTTGAATAGGTTTTTATGGAGAAAAAACACACATTCTACTTCACTTACAATGACCGCTTTCCATTGTACCACGATGATTCTGTAGAATAAACAGAGAAGAAAAATGTAGTGATTGTTATAATAAAGAAATATTGATTGAAAAAAACAACACTCAAATTGACATAAAAACACGCACCAATAATTGTATAAATATAGTGTTTTATATAAAATTTGATATTTAATTCATAAGTGTTCAGATTTTGATAATGGAGCAGTACCTTAATGTGAATAAAGTACTTGACTTTCTTCTATAAGTTTACAGATTTGAACCTTAAACCATGTACATGTTAGTTGAATTCCCTTAATTTAGATTATTTTAGTAAATCATTTTGTGATATTCATTTACCACGTACACACTCACTGCCTTCTCGTGTCATTACTGTTATTTAGGAAATTGAGAGAACGAAAAGCGAATGTTCGGCGCTTTAAGCGGGTTGGTGGACACGGAGGGTCCACCTACAGGAGTTGGAAAACACTAATTCCAAACCAATCGTGTACATGAGCTCCAATATCCTGAAGGAACAAATGGCATATGCACCAATTGTTGGTTACCGGCTACCATGGGACTGCATCTCCCTACGATGCTCCATTGCCTTGTGGGTCAGACCTTTCGGTCGAAGGCTCGGGATGTGCGCCCCCTAAGAAAACCACCTGCTTTGGTTTGGGCAACCGTACAGTATCACAGCCCATACACAAATAGAATGAAATTACGAGATACTTAATATGGGTGATTAAAAATCAGAAGCACATAATTACTATAGATTTATGAGATTTTTATTACTTATTTTCAACACGTAATTAAGTTTGACTAAAACCATTGCCATAAAGACTGATAATATATTGTCAAAATTATTATAATGTAGAGAAGATTTCAGGTAAAACAATAAAGATGAAATCCAAATATATACAATTGTATTTAAGCTATACATATAGTGTGAGGATTAGTATTAACTATTAAAACTGTTTCAGACTGAAGGATAGTTTTGATCTAAAACATTTGACAGTTTCAAGTTAAGTGTAAGAAGACAAATTCAATCACTTGGTTTCACTTATCTATCAACAGTTGATACAAATTCTGAATATGAGATCATTCAATTTCCAATTACTATTTGTTAATAGAATATTTTGACTGATTTCAATAAAGATTTCAAAATTCAATGTTATATTCATCATGTAATGAAAGTCAGAAAATTGTGTGTCATTCATACAATAATTTCACTGACAACTGAAAAGCTGAAACTCTGTTTAACATAATTAAATATCGTTGATTCGACCAAAACAAATAAATGAAAAATAAAATTGTTATTTGATAGTTTACTTTACAATATTGTGAATTAATTGAAGCTAGACATGTAGATCACTTATATTTTAGCTCCATAGTCAATGGTTAGTGATATGAACAGAACAACAAAGAAGTAGTGACGAACAACGGAAGCTATTTTTGCGGGCGTTACTTCAAATAATTCAAAACTCATAAAACACTAACATTTAATTTTGTCCCTAGTTTATTCTACAAACCATAAGCTTTCGTTTGATGTGTGATTCACTGTCATATCCTATTCCGTTCCAAAGCTATTGCAATCTAAACGTAACCTTCGGTTCTAAACTAATGCCCAGTTTTGGACATGATGGTATTTTTCTAATTGTTTGCGTGTTGTAATCATGTTAGTCATCTATTTATTCATGTATCTTTTTGCACTAAAATGAATCGAAGTTGGAAATCGAGTAGTTTGGTTCCAGTTAACATGTCTTCTCTCTCTCTCTTGCTTGTCGACCAATCAGGTGATAGAATAGTTTTCGTCTCTCTACCCAAAGCAGTTAGTTTGACTTCGAAATCACGCATTCCAGCCTCCACGTTAAACCAGACCTTAGTCTATATCGAGACAAGTTATCTTGTGCATATTAGTGGATAGACAGATCAACGACGTAACAGTTAGGTACTCGCCATCAGACCCTAAATTTCTGAGTATAATCCTCGGTAGGTTTTTGGATCCAGAATATTGAGGAGTCCCAAATAAGGGTGAAGCAGTTGTTTAGTGTTTTCCAGTTTAACTTTAACAATCTCTTCAAACTCCCAATGTTAATTATTACTATTGTTTATTTTTAGTCTGACATCGATTGTAACACTACTATAACCAGTATTATAATGAAAATAACATACCAAAACAGAATATAAAGCGTATTCACTGGAATGCAATTTTGGGCCAACAATAAACGAACTCATATCTAAACATTCAATAGGAAAATCTACATTAGTTGTTTGTTTTCTCCAATTACCATATTCATATCGAAATCTGAATTTAAAAAGAAAGAATTTGTAATTTCAACAGATGTACAACACAATTTTAATCATACAACTAAGAAAAAATTATATAACGGTTAATAAACTTTTATTCATTTATTTCAATAAAATCATTCTGATAATAAATAGTTGATTAAAAAGGAAAATAATGACTTTTTAATTATTGAGACCAAGAGAGAGTGATTCCCTTTTGAATAAAAACATCTATACATACACATGTAAGCAAACATACATACACACACACCAAAATTACAAATTAATAATAATAGTAGAATTTAATATTTCTCAGATGAACATATCACGCTACTTTGTCGACAAGGCCAAAACATGGTTCAAATAATAATCTTTTCTCGTGTTAAATGTAAATATCAGTAATATTTTATTTAATTACTTATCGATTTAGTCAAACACACAGTACATTACTGATAATCTGATTAGTTAAAGAGTTAAAGGTGAGATAATGAAATTACACTAATCGATGTTTGATAGTAAGTTATGAACAACAGTCCACAGAAAATACTATATATATATATATATATATATATATATATATATATATATATATTACATTGTGAATACTGCAAAGTGAAGTTGTTACTCAAAGCTACATTCATGATTAGTTATCATGATCATGAAACTTGTTAGAGACGTAAATGTAAACACTTCAACATTGAACTGATAAGGTATTAGCTTTTGGCTATCTATAAAGATTCTTCAACAGTTTCTTAATTTTTAAATTTCAAGGATTTTGAAAGTCATGCAAAAACGTTATGTACGCTTTTAATTTATCTGGGATTTTTTCCCAGTAAAAATCAACTACTCTCGAATTGTCTAAAAACAAGCGCGAACTTCTCAAGGTCACTTTAGAATAGTTGAAGTTCGTTCTTATACTTTAACCAACCTGTCTAGTAAGACTGTTGAGAAGAATAGAGGTTTCCTGTCTTTGCTCTATGCTGGTTAACCTTATTTATTTATTTATTTTAACACATAGATATTGGTACAAGGAAGCACCAAATACATATGCGCCACTTTAATCTCAATTGATATGTGTGAGGGTTGTGATATTGCCCGGGTGCCCAAACCGAAGCAGGTGGTTTTCTTAGAAAGCCACACCCCGACCTTCGACCTAAAGGTCTGACCCACAAGGCAATGGAGTATCGTAAGGAGATGCAGTCCCACGGTAGCCGGTGACCAACAATTGGTTCATACGTTATTCGTTCCTTCAGGATACTGGAGCCCATGTGTACCATTGATTTGGGATCCGGTTAAAGCGCCGGACATTCGCTTTTCGTCCTCTCAATTTCGTGAACAACACCCCCGCCACGAGAAGGCAGTAAGTAGGACTTCCCTGGCAGAGGCTGTATACGCGTGGCCATGTGAGAGCATTTCGGGAGGCAGAGCGGACTCTCCCATACTCTCGGCCGTACCAGGGCATTTGGAGGCTGGTTAACCTGTTTAATGGAGAAGTGATATACTGATAATCACGTTTAATCAATTAAATTTAGACTCCTAACATGAATAAATGGTTAGCCAGTCGATGATAAATTGATCCAAGTACCATAGTTCAGAATCGACTACAATATGATGGACCGAGTCAATATTTATTGTATTCTAGACATTTCATATACTTCTGTAGAAATATAATGTTTGTCAACATTCATTGAGTTAAATCAATGTGAAATAGTGACAATTAATCAACCTAGTGATTAAATATAAAACTGAAGGCACGAAGTGTTGGACTATATTTGCTTCGTACAGACTAAAATTGCTACACAAATGAGATGTAGACTAGTTAGAGTCGATTGAAAACCGAAAGGCTTAACCACAGATCTATAACCTTCCAAAGTATGAAGTTCCCTAAAGATATTTATCTTTTCAAAATTTGTAGTGACAAAATAAAACCAGACATTCAATATGAATGACATTTTCTGTTCAGAATATGAACTACTCAAACAATTTGCTTACTATTGGAATATTGACTAGTAGTAACATCTAAAACTTGCATTTCATCAGTCTATTCGTGATTTGTTCAACTGTTTCATTTGTAATAATGAAAATTAAAACAATTAGATATAATGTTATTTAGCCGGTTGCATGAAAAATAAGATGATAACTGCATCCTATTTGTAGTAAAAAGTTCGAAATGTAATTAGTATAGTTTTTCAGAATTTCGCAATAAAATAATTACAGTGAATCAGTTGATTTAGTAGGAAACATATTTACCAAACTTGTACTTATTTTGAAAAATACTTAGTACTATAATGTAAAGTTGAATCATCAACATCATCATCCACATCAATGAATAAAACCATCAGAATAATTAACAGTGGAAAAAGAAAGTCTAAACAACCTTTTTAAATGTATAATTAAATATGTCGGTAATTTCCATAATTCTATCCACTTGGAAGCATCACGTCTTGTATTACATGTTGGACAATGCCAACGACACTGACCAACCATTTCTTCTTTTTCAAGAAATAATTTGAGACAATCCTAGAAAAATAATTAATAATACGAATTAAAACTTAGACAGATTTTGATGGAGTTTTGTTTTTTGAGCTGGATGGCTTGATCAGCTCAGAAAACAAAACTCCATCAAAATCATCCACCTGAGCTATAAGTCTTCTACACCATCTCAAACTTAGACAGAACAACATGGATGAGTATCCAATGTTCAAAAATTGATTTGTATTAACACGAATTAGATTTAAAATGGATAATTTCAACAACAAATCTGCTAGAACTGAAAGCGCAGAAAGATAAAATTACTTAGGAAATAATTAATTTAAAAATAAATGTAAACCTGTTTCATTATTAGATAGATTAGAAATCCAGTAATTAATGCTCCAAATTTTATTTGATATCGACATACTTTTGTAATAGAAATACTGACGAGATTACATACATACATTATACCCAAACAACTTGGAGGCTGGCACAAATTTGTATTCACTCGAGTTCCCAAACCATATTAGCATAACGAAATAAAAGCCAATGACATAAGTGGTAAGAGTGTTGAGATAATGAAGTAGCAATGATAATGAGGACTAAACACTGAGAAAATAGTTCTAGAAAGAATGGAATGAGTGGTGAAACTCAAGATCTATAGAAAGATAAAAATGGATGCATCTGCGTCAGGTTGGACAATACCTAATACTTGTGCTTATTACGAGCAAGTGGTTATCTATTCGTTAGACTGTAATGTCAAGAAATCCATGTAAGTGTTTTTCATCTTGACTTAGTGATGTGAACCGGGAAACAAGAAGCCCTGACAAACTACGAAGGCTATTTTTCGGGACGTTATTTCAGTTTATTCAAAGCTTGTAAAACACTGACATTTATTTTTGTCCCTAATCTATTCTACAGAACATAAGCTTTCGTTCGATGTATCATTCACTGCCATACCTTTTTCTGTTCCGAAGCTATTGTAATTTAAACATATTATTTTGCACCCTATTTTCTACTCTAATTCCCAGCTTTGGACATAATTGTATTTTTCCTAATTATTGTACGTTGCGGTCGGGTTATTCACTTATTTATTCATGTACCTTTTTACACTAATCTGAATTCAGTGAATCCAGTGAGTTCAGTGGTCAGGGAGATAGATCGAGTAGTGTTCCAGTTGTCTTGTCTTCTCTCATTCGTCTGCTTGCCCACCAATCAGGTGACAGAATAGTTTTCTTCTCTCTACCCCATCTCGAACTCACGCGTACTAGTCTCAAGGTTAAGCCGATCAGCCTATCGCATCAAGGTCGAAATCTAGATTAGACAAGTATCCTCGGCACCAAAAAGTGGGTAGACAAGTCAAGGTCATAACACTTAGTCTACTGACTTCAGCGTCAAGACCATCCTCTATGATTACCATTTCAAAGAGCCTTGTTTTCTGAGAATAGTTGAAAGGCTCTTGGTAAAACTCGTCATATAAAACTTCAAAGTATATTCACATCAACAAGGAGCTGCCGTCCAATTTATATATATATATATATATATATATATATATATATATATATATATATATATATATATATATATATATATATATAACTATTAGTTCTGTCAGGACAAGTGAACAAGAAATAAACGTGATGATGTAATAGAAAGATTATAATACAGGATTACGTAATATGAATAAATAAAAAGAACACTCTATGCAACAAAACTGGGAATAATGTTTACTAGTAGGAACCTATTCTCTGTATCCGTAAAAGATAAACTTCCTTGTCTGGTCGCCTGCAAGTGCATCTACCAAATCACCTGCTCTTATGGAGCAAGGTACATAGGCGCTAGCCAACGCTTGCCTTCAACTCGTATACAACGATAAGTCGTAGTGTGGTTCTACAAGGGCGAAAGGAAAGTAGTTAGAAGTTCCATTCTTGAAATTCTAATCGACTCTAACCACTCTACTGATTTACAGGTTGATTATAAGGTTGTTCACACAAGTCGTCCAAATCTACTCCGATTTTTCGTAGTCAGCTCCTTAAGATAGCAGCTCTTGCCATCCATGAGTGCATATAAAAGAAATACCCCTTATCATCATCGTTACATTGGCCTTAAAGTATCATCACTAATACAGTATTAGAAGCTTTCTGTTACATCATCATGTATATTCATAGTTCATCTGTCCTCACAGAAATAATACTTTAACAAAAGTTTATATATATAACATGACAACAAATACGTTGAAAAGAGTTCACTTCGCTGAACGTCGTCAGTCAGTCAGTCAGTATCAACGCGAAACATCGTACGTACATACATCAGTTCGAATTACCATACCACATTAGCACAGAGATTCAGTTATCGATTCAAATCCCGTAGTGGTAGAGGTAGTGATAGTATAAGTAGTAATAGGGAACATTAGGGTTTGATGATATTATTTAAGGAGTAAGTGAAGCGGTTGACACGATCAACTACTTCACTCCCTATCACTAGTTCAGGTGTCGGTGCAACCCAATCGTTAACAGTTGGGTTCCTAATACCGGTTTCCTTAACAAGTCTGAACAGTTGCATGCTGTTACCTATTGCCGCTGCCTTTTCCATCTCTCTTGCTTTCGCTACCCATCACTGTTCACGATCACTGCGTAGGCTTCTTATCAGCTTGCGCTTAAGCTGACTCCGCTCTTTGTTATGTTCAGAGCCAGATGGAATGAGTTTTCAAGCATCTGTCAGTGCGGTAGACGCTGCTGAGATCTAGTGTTTCTCCCTAACCTTATGGTTTACCATACTTGCAATCATCACTGCTGTTTCTACAGCTTTTCGGATGTCATTCCACGCTGCCTCGGGGTGGGCATCACTTACATGGCTGCCTAACTGTTTTTCTAGTTGTTCCTGAAATATACTCTTAGCTTGACTATCATTAAGTAGGACCCTAAGGGGTTTCCTTGCACCATCTTTCCTACATCCAGTAAGACGTAGATAAATACGCGCTTGCACTAGAGCATGCGCTCCAGAATGAGCGACAGTCTTCTATCGAGCCCCTCCACTGGTGGCTGATAGCGATGTGATCTATTTGAATCCAACGTTGGCACGAATTAGGGGGTCGCCATGTCAAAAGATGTTTTTCCTTATGCTTAAAGTTAGTGTTTGCAAGAAACAGGCGGTTATCTGAGCATAGCTGCAACAGAAGGTCGCCATTATCTGTTCTTTGAGTCGCGACACCATAAGACCCACCCAGGTGTCTTTCCCTTTCGCTTAGTTTACTTACTTGAGCATTAAAGTCACCAGCCACTATTACTACATCTGAACGCCTAGCTTTTCGGATAAGGTTGGAAAGCTTTCTGTAAAGCTCATCTTTTACACCATCTGAGCTGCAGTCAGTGGGAGAGTAGGCAGAGACGACGAACAGGCAACGACGAGTGTCCTTATCTTTCCGAGTCCTTACTGTTCCGTTTAGTCGGACAACACACAAACGACTGTCTACTGGGATCCAGTCTAAGAGAGCTAGTTCTGCCCTAGGACTCAATGCTATACCTACGCCAGTGAGGAACGGGAAGCAGCATCAGGGCTTCCAGATACACGAAGCGTAAATCGAGTTGGTTCGTTACTTTGACATGGTGCAGTCAAATGAATGACACTACTCGGATCCTGTGTGCGCGTTTCGGAGAAGCAATACACATCGATGGAGCGAGATTATAAAGTTCTAGCTAAGGAAGCCTGTTGTCCTATTTGGCACAGTGTTCGGACGTTGAAAGCTCCTATGTGTAGTTTACAGCGTGGTTTCAGGAGACCAGGAATAACGTTCCGCGTACTCGAATCGTTTGCACTAGCGGAGTGAGGTGATAAAAGGGCGTGAGAAGGGTTAGTCGTGGAGATAAGAGAGTTATTAAGAGGTGTAGGAAGGATTTGAATGTGACCAACTTGGTCTCGTGTGCTGTTACGGGTATAAGGGCTGATGTCATTTCCCGGTTGCCCACACCGTGGAAGGGTATTTTTTGGGGAACCTGAAAAGGAAATCGGATTAGTGTTGGTCTTAAATACCTGGGAGTGTGACCGCAGAGCCCAAGGGACAACTGCTTGAGGCTGGTCGCGCACGGCCTTTTTGTGGGAGGTTTTTAATGTGTTAGCTCCGTTCTTCAAAGGGCCTTACCGCCGGAGACGGAAATCCGTGGGGTAAGGTAAGGTGTGACACTTTTAGGGTCGCCCTTTTCTAACCCGTTCCTTCCTTGTGAGAAGGCAGCATCGCTGCAGATACTGGTTGTCCGAGGGAAACACATTACTGCTGTCACACCTCTGTACAGTCAGCAGTACGACTTCGCCCTCAGACCTTGAGTTGCTGCTTTTAGTCTTACCGTTCTCCAATCAACCCGCCTGGCATGGTAGATTATGTAGGAACATATGTTCCAGCCAATATAGCTCGGTTGGGTCATCACGATAGGCAAGCCCGACCACCACGTCAGGGTAACAGCTACGGTCGAGTCGCTGAACTTCGAGCTCTTAATGTTTAAATGGGAATTTCAATAGTTGAATTCACGAGTCGATGTAAACTAGACCACCATTGAAACACAGAACGGTTGTTTCGTCCTAGCATGGGAGTCCGCAGCAATGCGCATTCAGAGGATAAGCGTTCGCATGAGGCCTATGGTCCTGTATCCGAGTCCAACATTCGGGGTCATGGGTGCGCACTGCTGAGGAGTTCCATACTAGGATGAAACGACCGTGCAATGTTTCCAGGTTTGCATTGGTGATCTGGCTTACATCGACTCATGAATTTAATTATTGAAATTATTACAATCTCCACAAACCCCCATTTCGATTATACATATTGTTGTATGAATAATCATGGTTTTCGTAATAAAATTAACTTACTGTTAATTGACATTTATTATTTTGTTCAATAGGCAAGGATAATACCATGAAAACATCAAATGTTGTAGAAGTTACATGACAACTATTACATTTTACAGTAGAACGAAGAAGTCCCTATAAATGAAAATGATATATAGTGAATAAGTCAACATATAAACTGCGAAAAAGTTCAAAAAAGATTGGTCCCCCACAAATTTATTTCTTCATCAATCACACAATATTTAGTTAGTAAAATAATATATTTCTAGAAATGTAGACTAATGATTTAATAATAGTGACAACAAAAATATTACTTTATATTGTAAGAATATGAGTCAAGTATAAATTGGATATTTCAAGGTCGAAACATACGGCATTCAATCAATTAGGTGCAAGTTTAAATGCCAATTTATCTATTTTGTTTTATGAAGTTAAATAGTATCACTAGTCCTTAATATGATCGTATGACACAAAGTTGAGTACATAGATTTTTGGTTAGTTAATGAGTGACATCATTCTCTTTAATTATAGACTACCTGCTTCGGTTTGGGCACCCGAGCAGTATCACAGCCCACGCACATATCAAATGAGATCTGTGTGGCGCATATGTATTTGGTGCCTCCTTGTACCAATACCTATGTGTTAAAATTAAATTAAATTAAATTATAGACTTCCGTTTATTTGTTTAAACTAACAATTCAGATGGGGGGGGGAAGAATATGTATTAATGATATCTTCATTTTAAAACAATTTTTATTCAGTAATCAAATTAGTTGAAAAGAGTTAACAGATACAAGTGAAAATCACTACAGTTACTTTTTAATCGTTTAAAGATTCCCATCATATTAAAACACTAATAGTTGAACGAAGAATATTATTTTCGACCAATTCTCTTCAGGTTCTACAATTATATATCCAAGTTAATGATCCAAAAAATGACCAGGTTAAGGGTAAAGTGCATAATAAGGTGGGATGAATACATAGTGAAAAAATTATTAGGGAGATGAATAATGATGTTTAACCAGTATTAATAATAATAATAATAATAATAATAATAATAATAATAATAATAATAATAATAATAATAATAATAATAATAATGCAAAATTTATGAATAAATATAACAGAAACAATAACATTTGACCGCAAAAGATCGTCATTATAATAGTCAAACTGGGTCAATCAATAGCTAAAATTACGATTGATTAATTGGCCTTGTGGTTGGCCAAGGGAGGAGAAATAGTTCTTTTAAATGCATTTGAGTCAGTTACTTTTTCTTCAAAATAATTTATCACTAACTATCAATTTGATGATGAATGTTTTACATATTTGTGATACATTAATAAACAAGACATAAATAATAACAGTACAGTCTTGAACTCATATGCACACACACACACACACACAAAGTAATTAAACCCCAAATGATACACATGATTGTTAAGAAAACATTGAAGTTAGGGTCTAGTGACTTAAAACACATAACATTCATTAATTGAGATTCAGGTTTAAACCTTGTTTATGAAAATTTAATTTTAAAAATCAAGTACTGTAATGAACGAAGAATGACAGGGTAAACCAACTAATTTATTGTTTACAAAATCCCAGTGTCTTTGTAAAATATGAAAATCATACATTAAATACATCATTTCTTCGAGTTGTGCTTCGTATACTTCATCATTCTTCTAATCCTTTTGCTTTCTATTTTCCTCCTCCTTCTCTTGATTTCAATCCTCTACTAGTAAGCATTCAACTTCTAGTTCCCATTACATACTGCTTATATCTGCCCGTATAAGTAGTGCACACCACTGCACAACTATTGGGTCTCATAAAATAATATACACTTGAAAGACGAATAAACTAATTTAGATTTAGTAAGTCAGATTATGTTTTTAATTTTCTTAGAACAAGCACATATGATTCAAAAAATATTCCATCATTGAGTAAGGGTGAATGAAAGTATAAAATCTAAACAAAAATCATTAAAACTATTCATCAGTAGATTGAAAGTAGTAAGTAATAAAACAATAAAATAAGTCGTATTACTTGAAATGAAGAGACTATAATTGAATTATTGAGATCTTTATGTTGAATCCATGCAGCTTCTGCTTGTTCATGACTAGAAGTATATTCAACCGTTGATTCATTCTGTCTAAGCTTTGTTACACTATTGTTTTTTTCTGAACGAGCCTTGAATAAAAGGTGGAAAAATGAAGACAGTACAGAAAATGTATACATTTGGCAGATAGTATATTAGTTAAAACTTAAGTTCGAGGGCAGTTGTCACTTTCAGGTTTCACGTGTTGTGAAAGAAAACCTGTTATTGAGATATCTGAAAAGGAAACTGAATTAGGAGAGGGGTCTTGGCAATATACAAGGGTTACCGCAGTGTACAAGGATTAATTGAATGAGGCGTATCAAACACGCTCTTGTTGTGAGTAGCTCCAGACAAGCTAACCTTGTGCCTCAAAGGCCTCATCGCCGGTAATGTGAATCTGAGGAATAAGGTGAAAAATACCATCTTTACGGTCAATTACTTCTAACTCCTAACTTGCGTTGTGAGGAAGCTACATTGTTGCCTATTCTGGTCGTTTGAGGAAAAAAAACATTACTCCAATCGCACTTCAGTACAATTAGGAGCACAATATCGCTCCTGAACCCTGAGTTTTCTACTTTTAGTTTCACTGCTCTCTAAATAACCTGACTGGGATAGTGGGAATCAAAGAAACGAGCGTTTGAGCCACTATATCTCAATTAGATTATCAGGATATGCAAACCCAGTCATTAATTTAAGTCACTTTTTTTCACACTAGTTAATTTGTCAGAGTTTATTGTTTGATATTATTAGAGCATGTGAGAACGACTAGTCAGAAATTATATGAGATCTGACATGAATGTAAGTTATTTAGACTTTCCACACTTCACATCAGTGAGGAGAGAGAAGATATTTACAAGATGTGAGGTATAGAAGGGGCATTAGAATGGTTGGGTCTTGTTAGATTCATTACTTTATTACATTATTTCACTTAAGATTTAGACAAGTTCTCACATGTTGATAACACGATTGATATAATTTCTATCCTTAACAATAATTGCGCGAAACTTGATAGTCTCACTTGCTGATCTTAATTACTCCTTCGAAATAAAACATAACTGATTTCACAAAGCTCGGAGATTTTGCTTTAGTACGAAAATTAACAATAATTAAAAAAATGATCCACACTCACTTCATTAAGATCTTCATGCAGACCGTCCAATAAAAAGAGTAGAAATTCTAAACTATCTTGTTGATCATTACTAGAAAATTTAGATTGATGTTTTGCAACAGCCGACTAAGATGTTAACGAGAATAAAAAAATAAAACATAATTATTGCTTTCAGTTTATAGTATGATGAAGACGAAATCATGCGTTTAAAAAAATTACTCCATTTAATCTTGTTTAAATTTGTGTATATGACAATTGTCGAGACATTAGTCTGTGACCAGTTCTCTTAAAAATACAAGCTGCAAAGAAGTTCACTTACAAAGAATAGATTGACCTTTGCTCTATTAAGAATTAAGTATGTGGTTAATACTTTTTAGCCTTATGACTATTGATCAGTTAAACTCAGTCAAGATTGACTCAAAACATAACTCAGCCAGTCAGTAAAAAATTGGAACTTCATAAGTACGTCCATCAGTTCGAGTTGCCACACCACATTAGCACAGAAATTCAGTTATCGATTAAAATCCCATAGTGGTAGAGGTAGTGAAAGAATAAGTAGTAATACGGAACATTAGGGTTTGATGATGTTATTGAAGGAGTATAATCCAGTGGAATAGATTTGGAAAGAAAATAAAGGACATGAAGAATTCAGAAGATTAGAGTTTGAGAGAACACAAAGAGTGGATGCACCTGCGCCATTGCAAACGATTTTGAGCCATGTCATTCAAGGTCTCTAACCAACGGTTGCTATCGTTTCGCAGACCCCAACCAGGTAGTCTGCACCTACCAACATGGCTCAGTTCACTTGTCAGTGACTTCATGAATTTGTGCCATGTTTTCGTCTGGCCGCCCCTAGTTTTCTTCCAACCTACTCCTATACCATAAAACATCGCAAGTTGGGGCATTCAGTGGTCGAGCATACGTAACACGTGTCCCAGCCATTTCAACTGATGAAGTTTCGCTACTTCATCAATTGATTTGCCATCCTTACCTAGTACCCGTTTCCTAACAATTGCATTACTTACTCGATGGTTCCAGGATATACGAGCAATGTTTCGAAGACATCTGTGGTCGAATACTAGTAACCTACGATTATCTTCTACTCTTGCCGGCCATGTTTCACTGCCATAAAGTAGGACGGAACGAACTGCTGCACAGTAAACCCGTCATTCGGTTGGTAGACGGATATCTCGCCTACGCCATAAATGACACAAGTTGGCAAAAGCTGGTCGAGCCTTCTGTATCCGTGCTGAGATTTCGTCACATACCAGACCACAAAGGCAGTTGAGACTTCCAAGATAAGTGAAGCGGTCAACACGCTTAATATAACTACATATCTATTCAATAAAAAACTCATGAAAGCAATATATTTTTTTTTCTATGGTGACCTTTCCCCTTTTGTTTGATAAATCTTTGCCTTACTGAGTTATGTTTATTAACAACACAACTATAGACCACAGAAGGTGAAAGACCATCGGAAAGTAAAAATGTTTATCTTCCGTATAGATAACGTTTAAAAAATGAAAGTCATGGTCCTAAACATTTATCTAGAGCATATTTAGATTAACTATGATAGTAGATTGAAAGTGTCAAATACCGAGTATACATCAGTTTAATGTGTTGAGTTACATCTACACTTCCACAATAGTCTTTTATGTGACAATTATGGTTGTTTCGGAAGTATTGTTGTGATTTGGTAACAAAACTAAGTTAATAGTAATGAAACCAGACAGTTTTTGCTTTGTGCATAATTGAAAGTATACTATGTATATCATCTTGGATAACAGTCATCAATAGGTTAGATATGATTTAAAAAAGCTTTGACTAGTAACACATAGTGATTCACTGGATGAGCGACTTCAGCAAATACAACTAACTGTAATGAAATATTACCAGATAATTTACCACAGAACTGGTGCGTTATGATTTTCTATTTCAATGAGTTTTTTTTATTAATATTCAACGTATTGACAGGCCAATTACATCCGGAGTAATTATCACACTATAAAGGTACTTGTAGTATTTACCTAATCCTCATTACATAAATATGAGCCATTGGTATCCTATTTAAAGATATTAAATTTCAAAAGCATACTATATTTTATCTGCATAAATAGTTATTACATAGAAATTAGACCTGAAATCGCTTCTGTTATTATCATCATAATCAGCGTACAAAACAAACGACATTGACTTCAACTTTATCAAGGTAACATTCAATGTTTTTTTTCTCGCAATTAGACAAGAAAAAGCAACACAACAGAAGATTGAAATAAGTAAAATTCCAAATGTTTCTACTACTACCGATAATAATAATAACAATATGCCATTAAATAAAATTTAGATAAGGTTACTCAAACTTTACATATGCTCGGATAAAGAAAACAAAAAGAACGGTTTGTATATTTCACAAAGATGGCTACTTTCTAATGTGAACTTATAAAGAAAATCATTTCATTGAGAAAATGATCTCATTGAAAAATTTGTTCTAAAACACTAAACTGAATAAATTAAAACAACAGTAAAGTTTAAAATAGTTCATTTTTGAAATGATATTTTACATTAGTTGGTAAGAAATCAATATTTTAAACTGTTGGCTGCTAAAGACGAAGAGTTACTCTATACTGCAAATTTTGGATTATACTGTGATATGATCTGAATTTCTCCATCACGAAATGCTCTCACATGGCCACGCGTACATAGCCTCTGCTGGAGAAGTCCTACTCACTGTCTTCCCGTGTCATTACTGTTGTTTACGAAATTGACAGGACGAAAAGCGAATATCCGGTAATTTAACCGGGTTGATGGATATGAAGGGTCGATGTACGGAAGTTGGAAAACACTGATTCCATGGGCTCCAATACCCTGAAGGAACAAATGATGTATGAACCAATTGTTGGTCACCGGCTACCATGGGACTGCATCTCCTTACGATGCTCCATTGCCTTGTGGATCAGATCTTCAGGTTGAAGGTCGGGGTGTGGTCCCCTAAGAAAACCACCTGCTTCGGTTTGGGCACTATCACAGCCCTCACACATATCAAATGAGATTTGTGTGGCGCATATGTTTCTGGTACCCCCTTGTACCAGTATTTACGTGTTCAAATAAATAAATAAATGATCTGAATCACCCGATATTAAGTGATTTCTTATGCTGTTAAATTCGACAAAGTAAATTATTGACTCATTTCTTTTGTTGTAATCACAAGGTGATTAAAAATATATACAAATTGTTGTGGTCTTATCAAATAAAAATTTTAATAATAGATTAGTTATCTTTTAATATGTTTGTGATTTATTTGAACACATAAATACTGGTACAAGGGGGCACCAGATACATATGCACCACATAAATCTCATTTGATTTGTGTGAGGGCTGTGATACTGCCCGGGTGCCCAAACCGATTTCGCAGCTAACTAACAGACTACAGGTTTGATTTCGACTGGGCTAGTTGGGTAGTAAGTATAACTAGCCATAATAGAAATTGGGGCTTTAAACTTAATAAACCTACACTTGTTGAACGAGTTACAGCATTGTTAATTTTTTGCTATTTAATGGTTTTTAAACTTGAATCATTGGTCAACAGTATGGAACGCTTGTAAGTACGCAAAAACATACTTGTAAGTAATGAATGTAAATCGTAACTTGTTTAAAGCGACTACCGATATTCATCAACATTAGTCATTCGTAAAATTTACGAACACTCAGTCACATCTAAAATCGATATGTACTGGTGATTTAAACATGAATAATTTGAGAAAAAGCTACATATAAACAGACGATAATATAACATCACCTTATGAAGTCATTGATTATCAAAATGTCAGTAGCTATATACTTTCTTTACCTTCCTATACACTATGATCATAGAATTATTCCACAATTATTATAACTTGATTATATTCATTCCAATCGACAAACGTTTTCTACATTTGATGCTCTCCTACGACTGATATTATTATTACTATTACTATTATTATGACTTGTTTGCTTCTTATATCAACTTGATGTCGTTGTGTTGGTTTGAATTATTTATGACCTACTGACTAATTTAGTGATCCAAACAGATGAAAATATGGTAATTTGCTTTAATTAAATTAAAATGTTTAAACGACAAGACAGGACATGACATTTCTGAATAAATAACATTATCAAAATAAAATGTAGATCTTTTTTTAAGTTTGCACGTTAGTACATACATTTGGAGAAAAAATTTAATGTTCAACTCTGAATCCTTTGAAATTTTATGGAAAATAAAGTCAAATGACATGCATCATCTATAATTCGAAGTGAGGTTTTATGGATTTTTGACAGAATCAATTTATCATTCAGCACCTAAATAAAATCTTTAACAGGAGCCTGATTGACACTACAATTAGCATGTTGTAGTTATCTACTTAATCAGTTAACTTATGAATATTTAACAAATATATACTCAATTATTTTTTATCACCAAACGTTTCCTATTAATATTCAACATAAAATATCTGACCCATGAGTTTCATTCTGACTGCCTCCCATTTCTTCACAGAACAGACGAGAAAGAAACTATGTCATCCACTGTTGTGGCAGTTTTGAAATATTCTTATAGTGGTGAAAGAATTTTAACCAGGTCTCTGAATCTTTGTAATTAACCAATCGTATTTAAGAATCTCGCTTCCCTTATCCTAGTTTAAGTATTTTACTCAATAGTACCATTCTGCTCAAATATGTACTCTATTATGGAATTAAAATAATAATTAATCTAAGAAATATCATTAAGTAATATATTGGACCAATTAATTAACGCTTATTTAAAACAATTATTTTTGCTACTCACTGTTACGGTCACACATCACTACGGCGCCAAAGATAGGTCATATTGGCATAACCCTCTGTCTTTCACTATATTTAGATCCATTTCACCAATCACGCCACGACCAACACTTACACAACTACTCAAATACATGGACTTTTCGACTAATTCTAACTGATCACTGTCAGGAGTGAGTGTAACCATAGGCTCTTGTCGGTCTTGTAAGAGTATTTTGCATTCACAAGCTGAGAAGCACATGTCACGCCTACGGACATTCATATTCAACTGACTAAGTTCGGTTTGTTTAGCTTGTGTGTCGACGTACAGGAAATAAATATCATCCACATGCTCAAGGTCGAGAGGTATTTCTCTAGGCAACAGATCCATAACACCATTACCTATATCCACCAGAACTGTTTCTAGTACGTCATCGATGGTAAAGTTGGAGAGAAATGGTGGGATTAGGCAACACTATTTAACCATATTGCTTGGATGGTACAGTGGAGAGCGGTGGTCGTATGCCCTCATTCCTTTTGGGGTGTCTGTGTATAGGGCTTTGTTAATTTGTCAGTAAACTTCCCAGGCACACTCTTCTTCAACAGACAATCCCAGAAAACAGTCCTGTCCAACGAATCGAAGGCAATACTGATTTCAAGAAACACTACGATTGTTGGATTGTAATAATTATGACGGCGTTCTAAAATTTAGCGGAGGTTGATAACACGATCAGTACATCATCGACCAGAACGACAACCAGCCTCCTCCTGGCGAGTTAATCTTTCTCAGGTTTTGAATAATCTACGAAGCATGACGGAAGTCAATAATTTGAATACGATCGGAAGTAGACTTATCTCCAGACAGTTGTTGCGGAAACGGCGTAAACCCTTTTTTAACGGTAGAGACCACTATCGACCCATTCGACAATGCTGGAACACTCTCTAATTGCCATACCTTTGTAAACAACGCAGTCAATTTCTTAACCAGAAGGTTACTATTATCTCTAAAATGAGTCGGAGGTAGGTCATCTGGATCTGGTGATTTGTGGCATTTCAGGATTTGAAGTTCGTTGTGGAATTTCCCCTCGTTCGGTGGATCAATCGACACCGAACATGAAAAACAGAACAGTCTGTCCAATTTCAACGGGTAGCACACTAATTGAACTTTTCCTTGAAAAACTCTATCCGACATCCAAAACGTTGGTACATGTTATTGATTTACATCTCGTCATCTTCACAGATTTTTTTACTCACACCAGGCTGCTTGCTTCCAGTGACTTGGATGAGTTGAAAGAGCTTTCAGTTGTTACCACATGCAATTGTTGTTCCTAACTCATCAGATCTCTCGGTCCTTATGTAAACTTTGCATAATTTCATTATGTAATAATCTTCGTTCGTGGTCAAACTTGCGGTCACCCGGAATAGACCAATGAGCTTCAATGAGTAGTAAGGAGGCTGTATTAACCCAGTGCTTGTAATTGGGACTAAATTTCCAAGTGTTTAGTTTTCAAAAGAGCAAGAACAAAGATTCTAGCAAAATAGCATGAATTCATTTTTATTTGGTAGGTTCTCGTCAGCTGCTTACAACCTGTGATATTTAAAATTATAATTACACAATGGGTTTAAATTACTTACATGAAAGAGTTTGGTTGGAAATTATATTGGAGATATATTCGTATAGTGTAGTGTTTAATTTTCCACTAACACTTCTCGGTTTTATTGCTTTTCTTTTTGTTTGCCAATCAAAATGTGGAAACTTGGGATGTACAACTATGTCTAGTCATACACTGTTTTCAAGTGACTATTGATGAGATTAACATCCATACTTGAATAATGACATTAATCGGTCAATAAAAAATAAGGGAAAATAGTCTAACTACTCTATAACTAAATGTGAACGGATCCTACAATAAACAAATAGACATAGAATACACTAAATAATAAACAATTTTTTACTTACCCTAAATTTATATAATTCACCATCCTGATTAGGTTGGTTATACAACGCTGAGAGTAACATTTCAAAATGCTTGACAATTTCACCACCATAACCTAGACGATTTGACACGACAGCTTGACGTTCATGAAAACCATCCAGAAAGTAATGAACTAATGCTCTAGTATGAGACAAACTTTGTACAACAGAATTTATATAACATGTATTCCCTAGATTACGTAACCCATTAGTACGTGTTTGGTGAATAGCTAAAATGAATAATATGTACATAATTCGACATGATCTAAAAACATATAACATAGGACACATAAACTGAAGAAAGATTTTAGTAACTAAATGAATTATTTGGAAAAAATTATGAAGTGTTATTATTAAAAATCCCCGGAATAGTGCTTTTGATGATTAATGAAAAGAAAAATTAATGTACACACCATTTCACTTTGATGGGCGAGAATCTCAGCACTAATTACTTAAACACCAAGATATTAATAACTGTAATTTCGTTAGTAATGATAGTGGATCATAAAGTACCACAAAGCAGTATTTAAAAATCATTATTGTTTTGTTAACTATACATTTAATGAAGAGAATTAGTAAGTTTTTTTTATAGTCTTAGGGAGAGTATGTTTTCATTGGGATCTAGTCATATATCCAAACACACGATCGAAACGAATGATCAAGTCCAAGGTAAATAAAAAGTCTCAAATGATGGCATTAAACAAATATCTTTAACGGTTCACCGAATTGGTTATTTTTGTTGAAGTCTTCTAGACTTAAAATCCTCTCAACGAAGGAAGCAAAAAGTATTTGGAATGAAAAATCGAATCTCTGAACCAAAGTAAAATCTTCTTTCTCTTCATTTAAGTAGCTCAACGTCAGGCCCTAAAACGTCCATAACCATTTCAATTAAATGGTGAGCTAATTTAATTAATGTACATACAACCTACGTCTTGTACTTTCACAAGTTAAATTTATTTTATTCTAAAACTGTCATCGCTGTGATTATTCAGATTTCTGTATTACTATTATTAGTAGTAATCTGATTACATGAACAATTTAGTTAGGACTCAACCCGTCTTACTATTTCATAATCAACCCATATCATTTTATACATGATGTAGTCTTGGACTAAACATTACAGTACCACTAATTACCAGACTAGCCAAAATACATAACCATGTATTGCGCTTTAGTAAATGACTTGATTAATTTCGATAGCTATGAGAAGTGGAAATTAATACATGTAATTTGTAATTTCTGAAACTGACCAATATAATTGGTCAGCACGTTCTAGTCTGATGGTGTTGTCATTAAGACTTGAACACAGTAATCACAGTATCAAACGTTACTAATATCTTGGATTGTGATCACTACATTTTGTTCATAAGATATCAGTTGTTCGATATTACCAAGATTTTATTCGTAAATGTCTATTTGCTACCTTTAACCATTTCAGATACACATAAAATCGATATTAACTTTACTTGAACAAAGAACACAAATGCAAATAACATTTCATAAGATTGAAGGTTTTCAGGGAAAAATTTCTCTGCTTGATGGTACTGTCAACTTGTAAGGTAAAGACCGGAATAAATGTTAATTCAGTATTTTTGATATGTTTTCAATTAGCATTGTGGTAAGATATCTGTAAACTGATTAACAATATAGTAACGAAATTATATGCACAGAGCAGAGGTTCATCTGTAAAAACTTTCTCACCTTGATTATTTAGAACATCTGACTGATTAAATGATGTTAGGGATGAATGAGAATGTAAAACATTTGTTGGTTTAGTTTCAGATGGGGGAATACTTGGTACAGATTGAAGTGAAACACTACTAGGTGACAAAGATAAAGATGCTTTCCATGGATTTGCATAAGGACCATTTGGTCTATTGACTGTATTTTCTATAATTTGCCCGGACAATTTATTCAACAACGTGCTATCAGGATGTAGTTTGTCATGGTAGTCACAGTAGGCAAGAGGTTCTTCATCCAAATTATCATCAGATAGTTTCTAAAAATGTGAATATAATAAGTTTTTTCAAAAAAAAACTGAAAAAAACGGTAGTGCTAGAATAAAACTTGTCTGATAGATTTGCTAAAATTTCCAACTCCTATAACTTTTAGACTTGGAAAAGTGAATTTAAGTTCAAGAGGGATATCAACAAACAACACTCCGTGTCTACTATCACAACTTTGACAACAAAATATCTAATGGATGCAGAATTTTGAGCTACATTCTCTTTTAGCAGAATAAAAAAGCATAAGGCTTTCAGAAAGAATGAGAATATAAAAATGTGGTGCTAATTCAAAAAAAAGAAAAGGAATATTGTAAATACGATATACGCTTACTATTAAGTATTTGAGAGTTCTAATTTACAATTGATTGATTACTTGTTATTAATGCCATGTGTATCAGGTCGTTCGTAGTGCAGATTGAATTCTACTAATCAAGTTGCGATGCGGCCACTAGTCTGGGTGACTCCACATCACATGCACTATGTTGAGATGTAAGACAAAGACTGGAGATAGCCGACATGAAACCTTGAACATAGGTTTCGTGATATTTGGAACTCGTCAGCGAAGTGTATGTTTATCAATAGATTTGTAAATTGTCTTCAATATTTTCATCAAAGACTTACTTTCTCTTAACTTTATCTACAATATATGTGAGTGTTGGTGATGCATAAAAATGTAACAATTAGGATTGTAACAATGAACGAATTTAGATTGTTATCCACTATATTTTTATTAATAGATTAACTTTGATATGTTTTTTTATTATTATTTTAACACAATAGATATTGGTACAAGGAAGCACCAAATACATATGCGCCACACAGATCTCAATTGATATGTGTGAGGGCTGTGATACTGCCCAGGTGCCCAAACCGAAGCAGGTGGTTTACTTAGGGGGCCACACCCCGAGCCTTCGACCTAAAGGTCTGATCCACAAGGCAATGGAGCATCGTAAGGAGATGCAGTCCCATGGTAGCCGGTGACCAACAATTGGTTCATACGTCATTTGTCCCTTCAGGATACCGGAGCCCATGTGCACCATTGGTTTGGGATCCGGTTAAAGCGCCGGGTATTCGCTTTTCGTCCTCTCAATTTCGTAAACAACACCCCGCCATGTGAAGGCAGTAAGCAGGACTTCCCTGGCAGAGGCTGTATACGCGTGGCCATGTGAGAGCATTTCGAGAGGGAGAGCGGACTCTCCCATACTCTCGGCCGTACCAGGGCGCTTGGGGGAGATATGTTGTTTAAGTGTAATAAGTTTTATATGTTTTCGCTCAAAAGGAACCAATAATCTATTTATTTAAGGTGATGATAATTAAGACACTGTGACAGTATATGAATCGTGTTTTCCTGAAATTTGGCTGTATCGAATTTGAGTCAGTGATGTGGACGGTGTTTCATTAGTTAATAAATTACATTCTGTACGTAAACCATCATGTAAATAACTCGAATAAGTGGTTTGAAAATTTAACGCGATAACACAAAACACTACTGAAAGAAGCACGATACCCCAATAATAACCCTTAATTCGGTCCCAACCATTATGATGATGAAGAAAAAAAAAGGCATAAGTTCATTATAGTTCCGACCGAAGATTCTAAAACGTTAAAAGTGTGAGTATTTATTAAAAAAATCCGGAAATTCTTCTAAGAAGTAATCACCAAGGATGCTAGTGTTGGAGCGTCGAATCAGTTTTAAGGGTGAAGTTTCAAATGATCGCAAATGAAATTATTATACTATGACTTATTCTGGTTGAATTTCTCGTAACCATTGCATTTACCACATGCAAGTATTAATAATTGTTAATCATAACTTAATTATACTGAAGTTATTATGAAAAAGCACTTATAAACACTTTCTAAGACTAAGTCATGTGAATCATAAAACAAGTTAACAAAAGTAGAAGGATAGTATGGATTAACAAGGAAACCATAATAGTGTTAGATACCTACACATTATCCAGAAAATATGAAATTGTGAGGTTATAGTAAATAGGCAAGCAGTATGAACAACTTTAACATGATAACCAATTTTTCGCACGTAGTTTGTGAGTAGTATTGCTTGGATCCTCATAACTCATTAATGAAAACGGTGTACTTCGTAGTATAACTTTAAACATAATGATAGTATGTTAGTTAAGCGGTCACTTACGAGAGACTGAAACTATTAAGTCAATAACATGATGTACGTCGGAAGTTTGCTTATATGCATAGCTCAATTCGATTAAGTTCATTATTTAGTTTAGCACCAAGTTAATGGAGTCTACTAGTCTGGTAACGGACCATCTGATCATGAAACATGGGACATAGGTTTTATTTTAGAGATAGATTTTGCAAACCTTTTAAGAATTAACTTATTATCTGAAGGTGAAAACGACTGAGATTTTTTTTAATACGAAACTGGATCTACGCGAACCAGACAGAATGATTGACTAGAACATGTCAACACATCAACGTTGATAATCCATAGACAAATGAAATAAATAGAAGACATGACTATCACGAGAATTTTAATATTGCAAAAACAAATTCATAACGTGATACAACAATTCTGTTTACGAAGTAATAATAATGACCTTGTGAACATATCACCAATAGCAAACTGAAAGAGAAAGTGACCAATCAGGGAATAGCAACAGTCACTGTGGTATTAAAACCTAAAAGTTATCAAGGAATCGATAATTAGACATAGTATGTCAGACGATCAGTCATGTGCGAAGTAGAACCTGACGCATATAAGAATTAGTTAAAGTTAACATTAACATGGCTATATAAAATTATCAAGGAAAGTTCTGAAGTAGCAGAAGTAGCGACAGTATCAGTAATAGTGTAGTGAGGCGGGGAAAACCAATTTTATTATTTAATACAAAATTACAAAGCGCTGTCATAAAATATGAAAACCATATATTTAATGCATTATTTGCACTTCTTCCTTCAATTGGCTTGTACGTGCTCCACGATTCCTACAATTATATTATTGCTATAATTACTCTCCATTTTCCTTAATGTCTTCTCGAATCTTTTGCAGGCAAGCATTCCACTTCCAAATGCTGCTACATACTACGTATATCTGTCAGCATAAGTAGCATGCACCACAATAGTAGACAGGACCTGGTGTAGAAAAGGAAAAACTAATAAAAAGACATTGGGGCTCAGCTTCCAAAGGATGACAGAGAGTAAATGCACATGTGTTATTGTGAACGGTTCTGAGCCATGGTCATTAAGGTCTCTAGCCATTGATTACGATAATCACTTCGAACTTAGTCAGGTAGCCTACACTTACTGAAGTGTTCGGACCATAATTTATTAGCTAAAGACAAAATAATTAAATAGAGTAAGACCTTAGCAAAAATAAAACACCTGAACGACATGAAACGTAGATTCTTCTACAAAAAATAAAAATCGTTATGATGTCAAGTATGCGCATGTTATGTCATAGCATTTAGACAGATGCTGGCTTTCTAAATTAGACTGAAAAAAGTACATTTTCAAATTGTCTGTATTTCATCATGCACTTTATTAAGAATTGTACAATGTCTGCTGACAAGTTATATAAATCTACTTACCCAAACATTATCTTTTATATCTTCATCACATTTTATTGAACCATATGGGAGAGTGAGATTTGAAGGGATATTCGTTGAACTAATACAAAAAAATAATAAGTTTTTCACAATAGAGAAAATAATCAATGAGGCAATTATCACAATACTACCAGGATTTTCATTTTGTATAAAACAAATGTTCGGCTCGAAGAAATAATCAATGTATTTTCATTTATAGTAAATAAACACCATTAACTCAGTATTAATATAACAATGTAACGTAATTTATACACAAAGAACAGGTCAGTCAGTCAGCTGCAACGTAGGACCAGGCACGTATATGCATCGGTCCAAGTTGCCATACCGCATTAGCACAACAAGATGAACATCGGATTCATAGAAGTACTTAATTCAGTTGTGGCAATATATAGAAGAAAGATTGCATATAAGGAGATAGTGCAGGAAGAAAGAATTAGTTGGTAGAAAGAAAGATTTGAAGTGATTTCAATCTCTTAGTTTAAACGAAGACAGAGAGTGTATACACCGACGCCATTGTGATCGATTCTGAGCCATGTCACCAAGAGTCTCCAACCATTGGTTACAATAGTCACGAGGACCCCAACCAGGTAGTCTGCATCTATCAGCATGGCTCAGACCAGAAGTTAGTGACTTCAAGCACTGATGCCACGTTTTGGTTTGGCCGCCCCTAACTTTCTTCCAATCATCCCTAATACCGGTTAGCATTGCGCGTCGTGGTAATCGGTGTTCAGGCATACGCAGCACGTGGCCCAACCATCTTAGTCGTTGAAGATTCATAACCTCATCAACTGATTTACCATCATTCCCTAATACCCTTGCGTCTAACCTCACTATTACTTACCCGGTGATCCCAGCAGATGCGAGCAATATTTCTAAGGCACCTGTGGTCAAATACTAGTAACTTACGAGTATCTTCTACTCTTAAACGCCATGTTTCACAGCCGTATAGTAGAACGGAACGAACTGCCGCGCAGTATACTCGTCCCTTAATTAATAGACGGATATCTCGCCTGCACCATAGGTGACGTAAGTTGGCAAAAGCCAAACGAGCTTTTCGAATCCGTGCTGAGATTTCTTCAGACACCAACCCATTAGGGCTGATCAGACGCGTTCGACTACTTCACTTCCTATCCTTAGTTCAGGTGTTGACGCAGACCAGTCCTGAAGCAACAACTTGCATTTAGAGAGAGAGAAGCGCATCCCAAAAATTCTGGCATTGTTGTTCAGTGCTACCAGAAGGCACTGCATTTTATCAGCGTCTTCACCAAACAGGACTATGTCATCTGCGTATTCTAAGTCGTTAAGTGGACCTCCTGGTGGGAGATCGATACCCGAGACTTCAGTCGATGAGAGCGTTATTTCCATCAGTAGGTCTATGATGAAGTTAAACAAAAATGGAGGAAGTGGACAGCCTTGACGGACACCACTTGAGGTTGCAAAAGCAGATGACAGTTCGCCATAAGCTCTGACTCGACTAGTAGAACAGGCCTATGTATTCGATTTTGAGGCTCACTATTTTTGTGAGCACAGGTGGTATTAATTGGCTGTTCAAAAGAGTTTCAGCGTAATAACCATAGATCAAGTCCCTCGACAACCAAGCTGCCGCTTTAGTAAGTCATGTCATGAACAACAAAGGCGTATCGTCTTGAGTTTCCACACTACATCGGAACATTGAGATAAAATTATCAAGAACAATCTCACAAAAGTGGAGGTATTAGCAGTATCAGTGGTAAACATAGACAACATAATTAAAAAGGAGGGAATGAATTTACGCAAAAAAGTAGAAGATAGTTTCAAAAACCTAGATCTAAGGAAAGCAGAGAGAGAGAGAGAGAGAAATCATCTGTAGCATTGCGACCAATTCTGAAACAAGTTGTTTAACGTCTCCAAACATTGGTTACAATAACCGCGCGGACCCCAACCAGGTAAGTATATACTTACCTACATGACACAAATCAATAGTCAATGACTTCATGGACTTATGGCACGTCTTGGTTTGTCCGCCACTTATATCCAAATCTACTTCTATAACACCCAACACCGTGCCTCTCGCACCAGTGATTTCATGTAAAATCACAAATAAAGCCATCAACAACACTTTTTATGAAGTGGTTAACGATATTAATATCTGAGTTAAAATTTAGCAAATGATCAAGAATTCAAATGTGTAGAACAGTGAATAAACGTGTTGAATAGTTTAAACCATGAAGCTTTAAGCTTATCAGCAATGTAAATCATAGTTAAATGGAAGCTTCCAAAAACGGTCACATAATAAATGCTAAATATGTGAGACCATACTGAGTATGGAGGTTCTAAGTGTGAAACTCACGAAAACCGAACAGCCATATAAATTTTAAAAAATACATAAACCATTAACGAATAAGGAAATCTAGCTCCTAGCTCATTTAATGTCTAATAAACTTGAATAAAATTACAGTTCCACAGATCGTATCGAACATATTCTTAATAACAATTAATACTATTGTAACTGTGATACTACCACTACTAATTATTTTACAGTCAACAAAACTTTCTAAGAGTATTACATAACTACATACATATAAATTTTTTTGATAACATAGTGATACAATGCACGGAATGGTAGATAACAAGTAGTTACTACGATCTAACGCTTAGACATCATAGAATTAATTATTTAGCAAAACAGTAATAGTACTTATCAATAAGACAAAATAGATAATCTCCATCCAATAAACTATTATCAATACAAATTACAAAATATTAAATAATGAAAGCAGACTATAATGAAACTTTGAGAATGTCAATAAATAAGAGAAATTCTGTTAACGACAGATATTAAATAAAAATAGTAATTATTATTATTATTATTATTAACACCATACAAATGAAACACTGAAATTTGAGAAAATATGCAAATGCAATTAGATAAACTAAGAAAAAATAATTGTGAGTGGCATTAGAGTATATGAATGAATTTAATAAGTCAATTTGATTCAACCATACCACATTTATTTATTTGATTAGGCTAGGCTATTACAATTAACAATTCATTATAATTCATAAATAATACAATTTGTTATCGCTTTTTATTTTTACATTTATTATTATAGTATCACATTGATATATAAAGATTAACAAATATGAATAAATGTGGAAATAACAATCATTTATTTTAGACGTTCAAAGATAACAAGTAAAATTAGTTAATGCCTAAATTTGTTTGACATACATTATGTATCAACTGTTATATCCTAGAGAAGATTAAATCACGAGTATAACTAATCAGTTATTAAATTGTGTATATTTATATTCATCTTATTATAAGCTTCATTTTGACCTATAGATTATTATTATACGATTAACTGTTCTTAAGTTATACTCAGTTTATTGACTACTGTCTCCAACGTTCATAGCCACTTTTTGGGTTTATTGTGTATAAATGTTATTTCCTATTTTATGGTGCGTTGCGGTCTGTTTGGTTGATATATAAATCCATTATGTCTGAAATAAATGATTCCCATATTGGAAGCTGGTATTGGTGTTGTGGACTTAAGTGGACGGGTTAAGCGAACATAGGATCAATAAGGACGCTAGGCTGCTCATACCGGTCAAACGTCATTGGTTTAGCGCACTGCGAAGATTGTATAAGTCATATTTCGATTGGCGGATAAATCACGTGATAACAAGCCGGACATAAAGGCACAACATCATCTACTTGTAACAAATCAACATCAATGAAACTGTTTAAAAACTAAAAGAGTATAGTTAGGAAGGTTTACTGTAGGGACGATCAAAACAGTAATGGAATTCTGTAACCAAGTACATTTTTGTGTACTGAAATCCAAACTGAACATTTTGTATGTGTCGGTGATAATAATCGAAAGCTTATATCAAAGTGAAACAGGGTTCAAACCTATATGCCAAATGTCAATCAACTAAACCATCAAACTGCTATTTTGTCTGAATTCATAGTAAGGTTATGTAAAATTCTGTTATAACAAAAGAAAATTTTTAATGTTCCCTTAACAAGGGAAAAAATATGATTTAAAGAATCTAGATAAATTTACTTACTATAAATCAGAATTTCCCATCGATAAATTCGATAAACCTGATGATATAACACCTAATCGGTGATCAACCTGAAAAACAGTAGTTAAAAAAGAAACATTTAGAACAACTCCGGAGAATATTATAATTATTACAGACGAAAACAAGACCGAAGAAGAAATACAATGTCATTAACAAGCTAAAAATAGTTTACAATTATTATGATGAGTGATTGTGAAGTTTGGGTTTGAAAAAATCGTATTGTGGTCGGTAAATGACATTACCCCCTAATGCCCTGGCACGGCCGAGGGTGGGGAGAGTCATCTCTCCTTCTCACGTGGCCACGCGTATACAGCCACTGACAAGGAAGTCCTATTCACTGTCTTCTCGTGGCGGGTGTGTTGTTTACGAAATTGGGAGGATAGAAAGCGAATATCCGGCACTTTAACCGGGTTGGTAGATATGGAGGATCGATGTACGGGAGTTGGAAAACCCTGATTCTAAACCAATGGTTGCCATGGGCTACAGGATCTTGAGGGAATAAGTGGTGTATGAACATATTGTTGGTCAACGGCTAACATCGGACTGCATCTCCTAAGGTTGTTTCAGTGCAATGCGGATTAGACCACTAGTTCAAAAGCCCGGGTTATGGCCTCCTCATATGTGCATCGGTCCAACAACAAGATGAACATCAAATTCATAGATGTAGTTAATTCAGTGGTGGTAATATATAGAAGAAAGATTGTGTATAAGGATATATTACAGGAAGAAAGGCTTAGTACGTAGAAAGAAATATATGAAGAGATTTTAATCTCTTAGTTTGAAGGAACATAGAGAGTGCATACACCAACGCCATTGTGATCGATTCTGAGCCATGTCACGCAGAGTCTCCAAACATTGATTATGAGAATCCCGCGGAGCCCAACCAAGTTGTCTGCACCTACCAACATGGCTCAGACTAGAAGTTAGTGACTTCAAGCACCGATGCCACGTTTTGGTTTGGCCGCCCCCAACATTCTCCCAACCATCCCCAACACTAGTCAGCATTACGCGTCGTGGTATGAAAAAAGTCCGAACAGGACTGGCTTCTGTTAGTCCTTCACCACCTCCTAGATGGAGTCCTATCGATAGTGCACGTTTGGTTCGAGACGTTATCGGGTATGGCTCAAAATATAAACGGATGAAAATCCTTGTGTGGTTTTCCTTTATTTTCTTCATGGAAGTGAGAAAAGCTTCTTTAAATAAAAAGAATTTTTCTGGTTGTATTTTTCCTAACTGAATTGTTTATCTCTTGATTATCATTATGATTAGGATTATTATCATTTCACTCTTACACACTAATTTCTGTACATTGTTTTTCTTTTTTTCACCATACACACTTTATATTCTTTATCGTTTCACGACCTCATTCTTACTGTGGCGCATATGTATTCGGTGCGCTCTCGTACCAATGTTTATGTGTTCGAATAAATAAAAAAACATCTAGGTAGCACATCTTAATAGCGAAACAAGCTTTTAATTTAAAGATTGACACATTTCTATGACGATAAATATAACTGTCTCAAGAGGCAATCAATATGACTGATTGATTTTGAAACCAAAATGACTCATTCCATTACAAACGTAGTGAAATAATAATAATAATAATAATAATAATAATAATAATAATAATAATAATAATAAACGTTTTAATAATGCATTTAAATAGCTACAACTATTCATAAAAATTTTGGACAGGTCTGAATACCGTTACCGAAATAACTAAATCTCCTGGACTCCGTAAAGAGATTTGCTTCCATGTAAACACAAAATCAATCAGTTCATCTAACTGAACTTCAATTATTTGTGAAAATTATATTTTAAATAATCTCGGCAATTGTAAATTTAAACAATTTGAAAATTTGATTGGTGCCTTGAAGAAGTTCAGACACGTTTGCTCGAAGAAACGTAAGAATTACTTAAATTTTAATCGCTGAGATTGTTTCAAATATGATTTTCACAAATAACGTCTTCTATATATTCGGCGCCCAAATACAGACGAATATCCGTATGAACTACAATTATTGAAGCCTTAGCCATACGAAAATTCAAACCCCCTTTGTGTATTCAAAAACAGTTTGTTCTTACCTTAAACCTACCCTGGTAATATTGACTTATTATCCAGAGTGATTAGGTTTTGAATTGTGTTCAGATTATTATTAATATTATTATTATTATTACTCTTATTATTATCCTTATCTCCTCTTACCCCATTTCCAGTCTAATTGACCTTTTATTTTTATATATAAATGCTCTTAACAAGTATATGTGTGATCAGATTGTTCGAAATGTATTGCGCTAATATATCACATAGTTTTGATAATCTTCTTATTACATTATCGATATTTTTCAGTAGTTGGTGATTTACAAAGTTTCGTGTGTTTCCTAAAAACGACCTTAAACATTCATCATCTCGATAATTTTGTCTTGTATTAGTAACAGCGAGTAGAAACCAACGTTAAATAAGCGTTAATTAATTGGTCCAATATATTACTTAATGATATTTCTTAGATTAATTATTATTTTAATTCCATAATAGAGTACATATTTGAGCAGAATGGTACTATTGAGTAAAATACTTAAACTAGGATAAGGGAAGCGAGATTCTTAAATACGATTGGTTAATTACAAAGATTCAGAGACCTGGTTAAAATTCTTTCACCACTATAAGAATATTTCAAAACTGCCACAACAGTGGATGACATAGTTTCTTTCTCGTCTGTTGTCTAAAGAAATGAGAGGCAGTCAGAATGAAACTCATGGGTCAGATATTTTATGTTGAATATTAATAGGGAACGTTTGGTGATAAAAAATAATTGAGTATATATTTGTTAAATATTCATAAGTTAAATGAATATGAAAGGGGGTTTATTGTGATAGTGTACACTTTATGCTGAGAATTCTTCACTGTAATCAAACATAAAGTGTTACTATTATCATTATAACACCACGATATTACACATAAAGAAATTCGTATATCTTTTCTCTAGGTATTTTCACCGTAGGAGTTAAGTCTAGACATTGACAATCATCTGACATAAAAAAAGTAAAACGAAAACTGAATAATATATAACTGGTTCCAGATAACCATTCGATTTTTTACCATGAAATTCGTCTTCCAATTTATACAGTGAAGTGAAGCAAACAATGGAATCCAGAACGCGTATTTAGTCCGCTTTTGGGACTCAGTTGGGTGTTGATTTTCACACTAGAACTATAAATTAGTACACTTTGCTTCAAACATCAAATGCTTTATCCACTAGTTTATCGACTTCATATTAATATTTCGGAAATTTAGTATTCTATTTTGAGTATAAACTGTATGACTAAAACAATTTCGCTTTTAGTTTTATTCCCAATTATCATAACCTAGGGATCTACAAAATAATAGTATCCGCTTAAGCTGAAACATTTTAATTAAATAGAAAGAAAACAATAGGAAGACTCGGTAAAGTGTAGAATGAACAAGTAAGGAAAATAAGATATTCGAAGTTCAGAGTATAGCAGAGTGAACAGTGTGATAAGTTATTAAACAAAAACCTCAATTGTGTGTACAACTGTATAGACACCAACTGCCAGGCCACTTTAAAATACGATATCTGTGCTGACAACTGTAACGCTTCGAAAACTTTCTGTAACCGTACAAAGTATTTGGCGGTAATGCAATTTGCAAAAACATATTAGAGCGCAGTAATTTTCTGTTCTACGCCAATATATTACTCATGGAAAGGAGCGTGCTTGATACTGAAACAGATGCAAGCGAGCAAATAATTCTTAAAAAAAAGTGAAAAATCCCAAAAGTCTAAACTAAGATAAAGTGAAACTGTGCAAAAGGCAGAGACGTTAATCAAGAGGAAACGTAGTTGCAAACAGCCTCACAATTTTATTACAGCGAAAGCTTATTTTAATGAAATTCATTCAATTTTGAACGAATAGTTTCAAAATAGTTAGGTGTTAATTGTATAGAAAACATAAATCCAAACGTCTATCGACAATAATCAGAAACTATTAAACTTGAGAAAAACAGCTGCTTTAATGAACACACTACAGCAAAATCTCGAAGTCCCAAATTGGAAATTACCTTTCGGATTGTATTGACAACTTTTTGTAACTTGTCAAAAGCTTCAGGGACATAAGAAGTATAGCACACGAAGGAAGAAAGGGAAAAATTAACTACCATTCGAGCGGATATCCAAACAGTAAGGTGGAAACCGACAAAAAATAAAGGCTAAGCGTTCCCCCGCCAGACTGATAGGTTGTGGGTTCGAATCTCTCGAGGCGAGGTCGTGGATGCGCACTGCTGAGGAGTCCCACAATGGGACGAAACGGCCGTCCAGTGCTTCCAGGTTTTCCCTGGTGGTCTAGCTTCAATTGACTCATGATCTCAACCATTGAAATAAAGACAAGCTAGTGAATTATTATCTTGAATTCATTATTTAGTGTTCTACATCAATAACCATAGTCACTTTTCGAATGTGTTGATTAAAATCGACGGGATATTTTATCTTAGGTTTTTAGTCATATAATTAGGAGTTTTGACTAAGTTATTTAATAACTCTACTTTTTTTACATTTTTATTATCCAGCGCCTAAAGCTTCAAATTTAACTTACGATAGTTTTATTCGAACAGTTAAGTGAGATGGATGTTTAATCAAAGGACAGATCCTGAAGTTAATTTACATTATATTATATTCGATTGAAATTATATCTCCAACACCATGTTTGCTGTTATTCATTAGCAAGTTTGCTACAGAATACTAACAAGTGATATGCCTGTTTTCAGATTCATAACAGATTTATTTAATACATGAATTAAGGTATTTTATCACCAAAAAGTGAATGATCTCATAAAAAAATCAGATTATATCATTCGTTGAATATTTTATTTTTCTGAGTAGTGGCTTAACTTTACCCAATAAGTAGTCGAATGTAGTTAGATAATCTGATTTGGCGGCCATTATATGTCCGACATTTCATAAAGGTTAGTAGGGAGTATTTTATGACTACAGACGTCAACAAACATGTAATCTCTATTCATAAGCATGAATTCTTTCAGGACTTTTTATTTGGTTCGGTGGTTCAGGAATAATGAGAATAATACTTATAGCATCTCACATAAGACTACAAAACATCAAATACAGAGAACTACCTTCACTGAGCCACTTACTTTAGTGACAAAATTTCAATTATTTGACAGTCATTGCGACATACCTTGTAACAAATTTCTATCAATTGACATGTAATTCAAACATGTTTATTATAATTAATCTGAATTATACACTGTAAAATACTTACTGGAGAGTTGGTTTGTCTAATGTTGTTAAGGGATATTTCTGGAGACTGGCTGGACATCATTTTAGGAGTATACTGAACACGATTGTTGAATGTGGATGGTTTAGGTGCTAGTGGACGTTTAAATACAGAATTATTTCCATTATTTATCCCAGTACGTCCATTTTGAAAAGTTTTAAAGGATAATGTAGGATCATTACTTTGAGAAGCTAACAAATCAGCCAAATTAACAGTAGGTAATTGTTCTTCACGGATATTTAAGTCTGGATATTGGAATTTAGGAGCTTTCAAAGAAAAATTAAATGAAGAATAACATTACGTTAGTTAACATAATTGTTATTATCTAAATGTTATTAATTAAACATAAATCTATGTCCATTTTATGCTAATTGATACCCAAATAGCTACTGAAAGTAATTATTACTTAGTTGTGATTAAAACCTCTTAATAAGTGAATATAATGTAATAAAAAAAAATTACGCAACAGTATCGTACATAGTAGGTAGAGTTCGATTCCTAGGCATGATTAATAGGAAGCTACATCATTAATTGCTGTGATATGAATGTTTGAACCTGTAGATCAGATGGACCTTTATGAAAACACTCAGAAAATTCCTCGAAAATAATTTACTACGTAAAATGTTCGCAAGTGGAAAATCTATTTATTTTACCAATGATTACACGACCACACAATTAAAATAATTAAAACTAAACGAACAACAGGAATTTGTGAATATAAATAAAAGATAGCAGAACAAAAGAAGATAATGATTCGATTTTATAAAGACAACCTACTTACTTACTCCTGTTACCCCTAGTGAAGGAACATAGGCCGCCCACAAGCAGAAAAAGAGAAACTTACCAATTAAAAATGAGGACAAATATTTAAGTTTTATATTCTAAAATGATAGCCATGGCTTTCCAAGAATTTACAATGAAAGCATCACAATTAAACAATTAACCTAAAATATTCAAAACACGTCCATTATCAGACTGTCAAGGATTAGTCTATTTTATTCCTTGACCTGAAGGTATCACTCAACTCTATTGATCGACAGACCACCTTACCAAAAAAATATCCATTACGAAACATTCATACAGGTCAAACCTAATAAAAGAACTATTATCTGAATTTACTACGATGAACAGTGTCTGAGACATACCACTTACCAACTTTATTTATCTTTTGATATACTCCATCTGAAATATGAGAAGCCGAATACTTATCTGGAGAATCCAGTAAATGACTTTGATTCCCTAGACAATATTTGCCTATTCAATAAAAATATCGACAAAAATTGTCTTCTCAACAATTTTAGTGAAAAACCTTAAGTAATTACACTACTTTTCTAATTCTTGTAATCCAAAATGCTATTTCCAGAATTGTTTACCCTAATAGCTCATGATGATAAGAAACCATGTAGTTAGATGGACTTATCATTTTACTTATGAACCACCCTAACCATAGTATCTTTCTAGTTGACAAAACCTTAACATGGATACAACCAACCAGTTAGAAGTCCATAAGCTTCTATTACTCAGTTCATATAACCTGATTTCAGTAAAATCAGCTTGCATCGCCAGTGTCACAGGCAAGATGACTTCCTACTTCTTCAAGTATGAGAATACTGCGCTTTATTATCATACGTGAAACCACTGAAAGTAAATGTATGTAATTCGTATTTACTCGGTCATGCATGTTTTTGAATAATTATCTTCATTTGTTGAATTCATAGGGTGAACAGTCCTAACCCTTGACCTAACCTATTAAATGAAGGTGACACATTTGTTATTGCGGTTGTAAACTTCTGTTGAGTTGAGACTGTTTTAAAATTTGTTTTGTATCTCTAGCTACCACCTTCCATGGCACAATACATTGCGAAGCGTGGGATTCACGAAATATAACTTCTAGTTTAAATTATGAACTGAATTTGGCTGGCAAACCGCTGAAAACGACGGAATGCCAGATAATTACTTCGTTCAAGTACCGAAATCATCAGTAAGGCGCATTTATGACTCTGACAGGGACCGAACCCATAACAATCAAACCTCTTAGGGAGTGACTAACCCTAAAACCACTGAGTTGGGACTCCATAGTTTGCAGTTCCAACCTAGATCGCGATATTTTACGACCATCGTTAATTTTTATTGGTGACAACTAAGTTATTTAACGGTGTCATAAATTTTAGTCTCATTAAAGAGTATTTATATGTACATATAAACAGGGAATTTAATTAGTTACTCTGACCTTGTATTTAATTTTAATATATATTTACACAGTAGATAAATTTAGTATGAGATACTTGTCTATTGTGAGTTCTCAGTGATCCAAAAAGATATGAAAAATATGCGAAATTTTGACGATGAATGAGAAATCTGACTGAACGCTTGATTCCGTTTCCTAAGCCCTTCAAATAACTCCAGGCCAACTCTACACGACAAATTGAACACTAGAGAAAAGGAGCGAAATATGGAAAGAACGCTTTACTCTAAGGTTATTTACGTACAGAAAATTGAAGGTGTTTATAGCATTTTAGATGGTCTTGGGTTTATGAAAGGTTCCAGAACCCCACTGAACCGAGTAGCAGGATAGGTAATTATCCAATCAAAAGTGTCACACATAACTCTTCACTCTCCAGATGTTTCTGAGAAACTTTCATTCGATTCTAATTGGATAAAGTGCCTTCCAATGTTTTCAGGGCCCCTTTGGGCTTTCTTCGAAGAATATTCTGGGTCTCCCCAACAGTGAAATGCTCGATAAATTCAGATGAAGGAAAACATAACAAAATTAATGAATTTCCAACGGTTACCTTCTAATTGAGAGTTTATTTGTCTGGAGTCTTTTTGATTAGATGATATGGTTGTTTGAATGAGAAGTGGAGGATAACGCATTCGAAAATCTTTCATTCCCTTAAAAAGTATCCTAGGTTCAGCAGTTAAAACTTGCTCTGCATCCCACTAGAATCAAACGGAAAATAAAACAAGCAGAATAATATCAAGAAGTGTATTGAATAGTCTCAATGTACATACTTAAAATCGATACTTTCTAATCTCAAGAGTGAACTGAGCCATGTTGGTAGGTGCAGACTACCTGGTTGGGGTCCGCGAAACGATAGCAACCGATGGTTACAGACCTTGAATGACATGGCTCAAAATCGTTTGCAATGGCGCAGGTGCATCCACTCTTTGTGTTCTCTCAAACTCTAATCTTCTGAATTCTTCATGTCCTTTATTTTCTTTCCAAATCTATTCCACTGGATTATACTCCTTCAATAACATCTTCAAACCCTAATCTCTCCGATTACCGCTTATACTCTTACTACCTCTACCACTATGGGATTTGAATCGACAATTGTATCTCTGTGCTAATGTGGTGTGGCAACTCGAACTGATGTACGTATGCACGAAGTTCTACGTTGTTACTTACTGACTGAATCTCAAGAGATATCGGATAAGAGTATCATAAACGTTAAGTATGACCATCGATAAGTTGTGAAACTGACTTGGAAACTAGCTTTCAGACTCCCATTAACAATCCTGATACTTATAAAGCTAAGAAAGTAGTAAAACGCTTTAAGCTTTACTACAGTATCTACCTAAGTGCATAAACTAAAGATTATATATAAGGTTAAAATCGATCTTGGGTTTTTTTAAACATCTATGACAAGATTAGTTAGGGTTTAAAATCCTGGCCAACCAGATTAGAAATGAGTCTAAGTATTCCAGTTTGAAATTTATTAAAATTTATCTATCCGTAATCTATTCCATTCAAAGCACTGAGATGAATACTGTTATTTTTTCGATAGAAAGGCACAACCTACAAGGTCACTTATACTAGAAATAAAGTTGATAACTACCAATTACATTACAGTATGGTCGTATCAAATCGCTGATGCTGAAAAGGGTAAATTACTGAATTCCAACACAGTGGCTAAATACTAGCTCAATAATTATGATATTTGAGGGTCTTTAATTCGGTCTTGTGCAAGGCTAACGATACACGATGCAACATTCCTACAGTTATGATAAAAACGACTTTTTTGAAGACATACCTATTTAACGAAGCTTGGATTAGAAAGTATTGTACTAAATATTCGGTCCACTGTGTCACATAAATATCCACATATTGTAGAATTAATAGTTCCAAGCAAGTAAGATATTTCAAGCATAAAAATAAGTTATATGCGACATAATTTCAGTATAAATGATCCACATAAAACTTATGACACTTTCATTAATAAACCCAGCAAACATCCGAAATAAACATAAACTTTATCGCTCATAAATATCGCAGTTGACGAGTTAAGAAAGCTAACTTCAGTGTGAATTATTTATAGTAGGAAACAAAACTGTCACAAATACCTTTTATAGTATATAATCAGATTGAAACAAGATTTTATAGTACCTTTAACATAGCATCCTTAAGAATTTGCAAAGGATGGTTTTTATTTAAAACTGATTGGTCTGAATCGAATCCATTCTCATCCAATAGTATTATATCATCGAATTTGGACCGACTATCCCAAAGTTTTTTAAAGAAATCATTCTTTTGCAAATAATCAGAGATATTATTTACTGTAGTCCTAAAGTTTGGAGAGAAAAAATAACTATGAACAACTTAAGAAACTGACAAAATATACATACACGTACATAGATTAACAGTGAAGCGATATGATATGTTGTCATAAATATCAGTGCATACAGACAATCATGAACATGAACTCCATTGAAGAAATTTCGAAATTATGTATTGAGGAAGCCTGGAGAGATTCTAAAAATATGGCAATAAGATCGACTGGTAATCAATAAATACATTAAAGTAAGATTAATCCATTCAAACACACGGAAGTCAGTCAACTGCCGAGTCAGAGATGAACTGAAAAAGACAATAAACATGAATCAAAGGACGAATACAGAAAAACCTACGAAGGAAACTAATTATAAACAAAGTCATCAAAACAAAACTGATATAACAGATGGGGAATAAATGAAAATTTCACTTCTACAAGAAATGGGCCCCACTAGTTGTTGTTCAGATCGACAACGAGAACTCCACAATTGGACTACATATTTTGTTCATATTTACGAAGAAAAATTGTCTTGCAATAATGTTATTCCGATTATACACCAAGAAATCAATAGTAATTTGTTTATATAAAACATTAAGACATGATAGAAAGGAGTATTAAAATACATGCCATTTGAAGCTAATTGAGAATCTCCTGAAGAAGTCAGGGAAAGAATAATTACAAATTTAATAGACGAATAAACAAGGACAGCATTCATTAAAAATTACAGTTTAACCAAGAAAATAATTGAAATAAATTTCGTTTGGTTAAAAAGTGTATATTACTTTTTATGAAGAAAACAGTAGCACGATTGTCACTGACTTCTGATCTCAACTATGTCAACTACCGTTTCAAGCCACTGAGTTATTTATTTATGGAATATTTAATGGTACACTGGGGCACCCAAGAAAATACGGCACACTTATGAAGTGAAGAAATAAAGCAAAGGAAGGGCAGTACAATAAACAAATGAACAAGAAAAGTATTTAATAAGATAAACGGTTCATTTAAAAATGCAACCAAGAAATAATTCCTTTGCTGACATTTATCACCTTTATGGAGAATTTATAAAAAACAACAGCAGGATTGTCATTGGGTTTCATTATAAGCCATCCATGATAAATTCTTGATCCATTATGCTGCAGTGTCTCTAGGACCCCAACTATGATGGATGCTAATCCTATAAAGCTTGCATATAACAGTGCCATATCATAAGCTAACCACCACTCCGGTTTTTCTATCTCCTCTTAGAGTCGGTAAACAATGCATATTAGAGTTCGCTGAGATGAAACTCGTAAAGCGTGTCCAACATAACGAAGCCGGTATTTCAAGATGGTGACACTAATCGAATTAGTTACTACACCTAGATACAAATTGCCGGACCTCAACATTAATAACATAGTATTACTACAAGATGTCAGCAGTCCTTCGGAGACAACGATGAGTGAACACAGTCGTTTAACATCTTCAATTCAAAGAAGTTATATTTCACAAGCACGGGGAAGGACTGCTCATATTGGCAATGTAAATCTAATCCTTCATAACCAGACTAACATCACAACTACGCCACATTCTTTCTGTACATCCACACCACCACCTATTTCCATAACAGCTACTTGCAAGACGTCATCGATGGGAAAGTTAAAGAGGAATGGCATAAGCTGCCTGATTGAAATTTCTGCCAAACCTTTACCAGCACTTACATAACTGTCGATATATACACACTTCTCGAATATTTCCAAAGTACTGTCGCAAAGGGTGAGTCCAGGTAAAAACTTGTCAGTCTTACAAAAATAACTCGTAGTTCGAAAGTAGCAAAATATATTTCATACTTGTGAATACTCATTGCCAACTCATTGATTTATTCATTTAAAGACATAAACATTGGTATAAGGAGGAACCAAAATATATATGAGCCACACAAATCATTTGAATTGTGTGTGAGCTCGGATAAAGCACGGGAACCCAAACAGAGGCAGATGGTTTTCTTAAGGGCCAAATCCCCGGGCCTTTAACATAGAGGTTTGATCCACAAGGCAGTAGAGAAACGTTAGGAGATGCGGTCCCATGATAGCCGGTGATCAACAATAGGTTCAAACGCCATTTGTTCCCTCAGGATCCTGGAGCCGATGTGCACCGTTGCTTTGAAATCAGGGTTTTTCAACTCCCTTATGTGGATCCTCCGTACACACTTACCCGATTTAAGTGCCGAACTTTCACCTTTAGTCTTTTCAATTCCGTAAACAACACACCCGCTGCGATAAGACAGTGAGTAGGACTTCTTTGAGAGTAGCTGTATACGCGTGGTCATATGACAGGGTTTTGAAAATGAGAGTAGACTCTCCACCAACCGATTAATTGAGATTTCATCATCGAGCACTAAGATAATATCATCCATATATTGAAGCCCATTACTTTTGCAACAGATTTACACCATCAATGAATACTCTATATAGTTTTCCGAACGTTATTAATGGCGAAAAAATTAGTAAACCATGCTAAAACCAATTTTCCATTGGTAACAATGGAAACAACTTGCAATGATAGTCTGCAAAAACTGTTTTAATAATGGGAGGTGATACTTGCAACAAGAAAACAATGAGATTTGCAGTAAACAAAAAAGAGGTAAGACTAGACTTATGGTAGATGACGATTTTATTTACCCTCCAAAAACACTATAGTTACTTTAACCAAACACAGTAACTTATATATTGATTCTTCTGACACTTGATTATTAGTTAATGGATATCATGCGTAACCGAAATAGATGAAATATAAAACTGGATTTTATAGAGAATTAATGTAACACGTATGCTGCATGATATACTAAACAAATTTCATGCTAAAATTCTAAAAAGAACATTATATTCAATAAATATCATACTGAATTAAAAATTGAAGGAATACAGAGCAAAAATCACACAGAATTAAAACGTGATGTGGCGTTTTATTTCATCCTCTTAATATTTATGGATTACTATAATACAATGCTAACGAATACAGATATTATGCATTCCGATTTTAATAAGTTGATTGATGATGACTTAAATGTTTGAACTTATTGTGATGGTCCTATCAGGCGAGGAAAACATCATATTAACTCATTCAGTCAGTTGTATTCAGAGTAGGATTTGGTCGTAAATGTACATTGATCTGGGATGAAACACCTTATATCAGTATGGTGAGAGAAGTTAACAAGATGACAGGAACGGAAAAAATGAAAAGTTAAACACCAAAAAATATAGCAGAAAAGGGACTAATAAAATCGAGAAGTGAAAGGGACAGAATAACAGTGAACTCGAAATCTAGAGGAAGTTTGTGAATGAACACAGTCGTGCAACTGTGATTGACTTCCATTCATATCGTTCAACATTAATTATGAGTATTATGTGGATCAAACTTAGGAAGCTTCCATCTTTGGACATGGCTGAGATCAGTTTATAAATCGATGCAATGTTCCAGCCTACCTGTGCTTAACTCTTTTTTAACCTACTTCCATACCAAACAATATTGATCATCGACATAGCTAGTAGCTACGGACGTGAACAAATACCAGTCATTCATCACCAGAGGCCTCATCATTAGCGTTGTTTTTTACCTAGTCGCTCGCTCATAACTTCAGTATTACTCGCACGACTGTCCTACTACACGAAGGTATACTTGCTAAAAACCGAGTAGGCTTTAGTACTAACATCCTTTGATAAGTTTCGATTCACTGGATAAGAGTTTACCTGTAAAACGTAACTCAGTTCATTTGACAGCAGCTATTAAAGGTTTTAAGAAGTTATTACTTCTGAAACCAGAAGTATTCTGAAGTAGAAACAACATCCATAGCATCAATAAATAAGTAGACAAAAATTTAAATTATTAGTCTATAGAATCGACTTAATGATGTAATTTAAAGATAAACGTAGGGTTCAGAGTTATGAATTTGAATTCTATTGACTTAGTTACGAATTGAAAAATCCCTCCACCGATTCCCATTTGATTACTCAAACATTATATCTAACTGACACATTAAGTATGTTTGTGTACGCCACGACTTCCACGCAATTTAGCTAGACGACTTACTTAACATAATTACTAATAACTCAAATTTGCAGCACTCCATGTATTATTCTCTTATTCAAACCCCAAAACAATCCAAATGATAGTAAATACTGAATAAGTATATTTTCCGTTTAGATTGATGGTAAACAGTGAAAAATGTGTAAAAATACAGTAGGTAATAATCTTGCACAGTGAGACAGAAGCTAAGAATGCAATTATTAGAGCCAAATTCGGGTTTTCGAACACGGATTAAAAAAACGGATTTCGGTAGCATTATTGGGATACAGCTTACTTATCTGAAGGGGTTTCGTGGAGATTAGCTTAATTTTCAGGTAGTGCTCATCACAAATTGGTCGCGTTTGGGATACTCTAGAAAACAATGTTGCACTAGATAGATGTTTCATTCAAGTATAGGACTTCTAAAAAGTGCTCAACTACTATCCCACTAGGAGTTGAATCCAGATCCTTTAAGTATCACGGCGAGAGATTAATTTGGGACGAAGAATATCCATATGCAGCGTATTTCCAAGGGAAATACATCTTAGAGTCTAAGTAGGCACGTCATTACTTGGCTAATGGGCTACATTAATTGATCAACAATCCTAACACGGAGCATGAATTGAGAAAACTCGGAAAGAAAATCTAAAATGTGCACGAAAATCAGACAAAACAATTGTTCAATGTTTTCTGCATTTTTTTTGTTTGACTAATAACCGAGTTGTAACGGGAAATATATTTTAAAAATAAGAATATTTCATCACAAATAACTATTTCTAAAGGGACAGATAAACACTTGTTTATGAATACAAACAGAAGCTACGAGTAGTGTCAACCAATAGTATAAAATTGAATTTAAGGGAATAATTGCAAAACAACCTCTCGAATTTTGCATAGGTTACTTACCCACGTTTTATAAAATCATAGGGCAAGTTGATGGTATTATCAAATGCAATTTGACATTGTTCAAACTCGATTTTTGAACGAACATCAATAAGCAAAAACTTATGTTGCTTTTTAATAAATCCTGCTAATTCATTTGTCTGTATCCAAGATGAACTGACCACACTTTGTGGTTTATCTAAGTAAGGAGTCTACATTATCTTATGATATTTAAATTACCTGGTTTGTGATTTTGTTGAGGTTCAATGGTCTTTTTTACGTCGGGTAAAGTCTGACGACTTAAATCTTCATATCTAGCTTTGAGACTATCACGTAAGATTTCAGCACGTTCAATGGAGGACAATAATTCATTTTTCAGCAACGCCTTTATACAAAAATTTAATAATAATGGCAACTTACAGAGCATTTACTGCCTGTTAAATGTTTTAACTTGTCATAATATTCAAAATACTTCATAAATAATACATAGGCACGCTCTTCATCATGCTCCCAAACTTCATTAGCCTGACATTTTAATAAAGACATTTCACGTTGTAAGACAGAAGGTACAGTTGATCTGATATTTATTTTCGAAAGCTTTTTTAACTCATCCACAGAATGAGCTAGATATAGTTGCTTCTTGTTCATTTCATAAGTAACACTAATTTATACTGAAGACAATATCCTCTGACAAACGAATTGCTGAAAGAGATATTCTGGATAAAGAAATAACCAACGAAAATAATGTGAAAATCTGTAAAACCCCTTTCTCTACAAGCCTACGAAACAGTTTTATACAATATATATATATATATATATATATATATATATATATATATATATATATATATATATAATGTTGGAAGATAATACAAGTCGTGTTGGATTAGCTATTTAAAAGGGAACAAGATGCATAGGTATTTTGTAACAATCAGCCTAATGCACCACATGTATTGATTAAAGACCTATCTCTACATACATACCAATCCTATTGTTTATGAATAGATACCTGATTGTATTTCTAAATAATTATATTTAGTTACATCATTAAAATTAGTCCATGTACAATGCTAATTGTATGTTCAGAAAATATTTAGTACATCAGGTTAGAAACTAACGAACTATACAACTCGAAAAAGCTAAATCGTAAAGCTACCAAGTGCTGATGAGAATACAATAATAGTTTACTCAAATGGGATATCTTTTCTGAATCTAGTTGATAGTACATAAGTTATTTTAATTCAAAGAACCAAAGCAGTTTTTGCTAAACGGTATGTGTAGGCCCTTTTTATGCAACAGAAATTTTGAGCTACCGAACCGATTACAATAATGGGCCTAAAAACCTTTACTTAACGATTACGTATAAGATAAAAATAGAAAACTTTTACCTATCCAAAATTATTATCTTAAATGTGAACTCAGTTACAGGAACATGACTCACCATTTTCGGGAGTATGAACCTATGAGAAACAGGAATTTCCGAGTCACTTATAAAAATTATACAAACTCATCTAGAATACACTTAGGTGCCGGTCATCAAACAAGTGCTATGTTTTAACACAGAACCTTATAAATTTTAGTAGCACAATAAGTAAACGCATACATTGTAAAATAGTTGTTAGAAAGCTAACATGAAAACCTCATTATCCCGATCCCGACCGTAGCTGCTACCTTGATGTGGTGATCGGGCTTGCCTATCGTGATGACCCAACCGAGCTATATTGGCTGGAACATATGTTCCTACATAATCTACCATGCCAGGCGGGTTGATTGGAGAACGGTAAGACTAAAAGCAGCGACTCAAGGTCTGAGGGCGAAGTCGTACTGCTGACTGTACAGAGGTGTGACAGCAGTAATGTGTTTCCCTCGGACAACCAGTATCTGCAGCGATGCTGCCTTCTCACAAGGAAGGAACGGGTTAGAAAAGGGCGACCCTAAAAGTGTCACACCTTACCTTACCCCACGGATTTCCGTCTCCGGCGGTAAGGCCCTTTGAAGAACGGAGCTAACACATTAAAAACCTCCCACAAAAAGGCCGTGCGCGACCGGCCTCAAGCAGTTGTCCCTTGGGCTCTGCGGTCACACTCCCAGGTATTTAAGACCAACACTAATCCGATTTCCTTTTCAGGTTCCCCAAAAAATACCCTTCCACGGTGTGGGCAACTGGGAAATGACATCAGCCCTTATACCCGTAACAGCACACCAGACCAAGTTGGTCACATTCAAATCCTTCCTACACCTCTTAATAACTCTCTTATCTCCACGACTAACCTTTCTCACGTCCCTTTATCACCTCACTCCGCTAGTGCAAACGATTCGAGTACGCGGAACGTTATTCCTGGTCTCCTGAAACCACGTTGTAAACTACACGTAGGAGCTTTCAACGTCCGAACACTGTGCCAAATAGGACAACAGGCTTCCTTAGCTAGAACTTTATAATCTCGCTCCATCGATGTGTGTTGCGTCTCCGAAACGCGCACACAGGATCCGAGTAGTGTCATTCATTTGACCTCACCATGTCAAAGTAACGAACCAACTCGATTTACGCTTCGTGTATCTGGAAGCCCTGATGCTGCTTCCCGTTCCTCACTGGCGTAGGTATGGCATTGAGTCCTAGGGCAGAACTAGCTCTCTTAGACTGGATCCCAGTAGACAGTCGTTTGTGTGTTGTCCGACTAAACGGAACAGTAAGGACTCGGAAAGATAAGGACACTCGTCGTTGCCTGTTCGTCGTCTCTGTCTACTCTCCCACTGACTGCAGCTCAGATAATGTAAAAGATGAGCTTTACAGAAAGCTTTCCGACCTTATCCGAAAAGCTAGGCGTTCAGATGTAGTAATAGTGGCTGGTGACTTTAATGCTCAAGTAGGTAAACTAAGCGAAAGGGAAAGACACCTGGGTGGGTCTTATGGTGTCGCGACTCAAAGAACAGATAATGGCGACCTTCTGTTGCAGCTATGCTCAGATAACCGCCTGTTTCTTGCAAACACTAACTTTAAGCATAAGGAAAAACATCTTTTGACATGGCGACCCCCTAATTCGTGCCAACGTTGGATTCAAATAGATCACATCGCTATCAGCCACCGATGGAGGGGCTCGATAGAAGACTGTCGCTCATTCTGGAGCGCATGCTCTAGTGCAAGCGCGTATTTATCTACGTCTTACTGGATGTAGGAAAGATGGTGCAAGGAAACCCCTTAGGGTCCTACTTAATGATAGTCAAGCTAAGAGTATATTTCAGGAACAACTAGAAAAACAGTTAGGCAGCCATGTAAGTGATGCCAACCCCGAGGCAGCGTGGAATGACATCCGAAAAGCTGTAGAAACAGCAGTGATGATTGCAAGTATGGTAAACCATAAGGTTAGGGAGAAACACTAGATCTCAGCAGCGTCTACCGCACTGACAGATGCTTGAAAACTCATTCCATCTGGCTCTGAACATAACAAAGAGCGGAGTCAGCTTAAGTGCAAGCTGATAAGAACCCCACGCAGTGATCGTGAACAGTGATGGGTAGCGAAAGCAAGAGAGATGGAAAAGGCAGCGGCAATAGGTAACAGCATGCAACTGTTCAGACTTGTTAAGGAAACCGGTATTAGGAACCCAACTGTTAGCGAAACTATCTCCGAAAAAGATGGACATATTATTCATTTTCAATCCAGGAGATTGGATCGATGGGCAGTACACTTTATGGATCAGTTCAACAGGCCTTCAGCCACACTTCGGTTTCCCACGATCTCCAATCTACCTGAATGGCAAATTAATGTAAGTCCTCCGACTCTTTACGAAGTAGAAAAAGCTATAGGAAATCTGAAGTGTGGGAGAGCAGCAGGCTATGACAGGTTTACCCCTGAGATTATTAAGGATGGCGGTCCAGTATTAGCAGCGAGATTGACTGAGATCTTAGTTAGAATCTGGGAACTGAACGTAATCCTATCTGACTGGTCTCAATCACTGATTGTGCCAGTCTATAAGAAAGGACAAAAGTCTTCTTGTGACAATCACAGAGGAATTAGTTTGACTAATATAGTGTCTAACTCCGCCTGAAGTCCCTTTCGGGGGGCTACTGCCGGTCCTAAGCCCGGATAAAGGAGGAGGGTTGGGCATGGGGTTAGCGACCCCATCCCGTAGAAAACTAACCCGCTAAAAAAACGCTAACCAGAAATACAGTGTCTAAAATATTAGCTTCAATAATACTTCGACGTCTAAGCAAAGCTCGTGAAGAGCAGACTAGAGAAAACCAGGCTGGTTTTTGACCTGGACGTGGTTGTATAGACCAGATATTCACACTATATCAGGTCCTAGAACATGGGCACACATTCAGACGTCCCACAATGGTAGTATTTCTCGACCTTGAGGCGGCATTTGACTCTGTTGATCGTGAGGTTCTGTGGCAGTGTTTGTCACTGAAAGGAGTACCAAAGAAGCACATTAACCTTATAAAAGCTCTCTACTCGAACACAACTAGTCGAGTAAGAGCTTATAGCGAACTGTCATCAGAACTGATTACCTCAAGTGGTGTTCGTCAGGACTGTCCACTCTCTCCATTCTTGTTTAACTTTGTTGTTGACGTCCTTTTAGAGATGACACTTTCTTCATCTAAATTTCTAGGAGTTGAACTTCTACCGGGAGATCCACTTGTTGACTTAGAATATGCCGATGACATAGTTCTATTTGATGAAGACGCTGACGAAATGCGGAGTCTGCTGACCACTCTAAGCAACAATGCAGGCATGTTCGCCATGCGATTTTCTCCCTCGCAAAGCAGTGTTGCTTCAGGATTGGGTTGCGTCAACACCCGAACTAATGATAGGGAGTGAAGTAGTTGAGCGTGTCGACCGCTTCACTTATCTCGGAAGTATCACACCATGTGTTCTGCTTTGTGACGAAATCTCAGTACGGATACAGAAGGCTCGACTAGCTTTTGCCAACTTGCGTCATTTGTGGCGTAGGCGAGATATCCGTCTACCAACCGAATGACGGGTTTACTGTGCAGCAGTTCGTTCCGTCCTACTTTATGGCAGTGAAACATGGCCGGCAAGAGTAGAAGATAATCGTAGGTTACTAGTATTCGACCACAGATGTCTTCGAAACATTGCTCGTATATCCTGGAACCATCGAGTAAGTAATGCAATTGTTAGGAAACGGGTACTAGGTAAGGATGGCAAATCAATTGATGAAGTAGCGAAACTTCATCAGTTGAAATGGCTGGGACACGTGTTACGTATGCTCGACCACCGAATGCCCCGACTTGCGATGTTTTATGGTGTAGGAGTAGGTTGCAAGAAAACTAGGGGCGGCCAGACCAAAACATTGCACAAATCCATGAAGTCACGAGTGGACTGAGCTATGTTGGTAGATGTAGACTGTCTGGTTGGGATCCGCAGAATGATAGCAACCGATGGTTAGAGACCTTGAATGACATGGCTCAAAATCGTTTGCAATGGCGCAGATGCGTCCACACTTTGTGTTCTCTCAAACTCTAATCTTCTGAATTCTTCATGTCCTTTATTTTCTTTCCAAATCTATTCCACTGGATTATATTCCTTTAATAACATCTCCAAACCCTAATCTCTCCGATTACTGCTTATACTCTTACTACCTCTACCACTATGGGATTTGAATCGACAATTGTATCTCTGTGCTAATGA